TGACGGTCACAAACGTGGTCTCCTGTGTCTGGCTGTGCAGGGCCCTGTTCGACTATGACCGCACCCGTGACAGCTGCCTGCCCAGCCAGGGCCTGAGCTTCTGCTACGGGGACATCTTGCACGTGGTCAATGCCTCCGACGACGAGTGGTGGCAGGCGAGGCTGATCACGCCCCACGGGGAGAGCGAGCAGATCGGGGTCATCCCCAGCAAGAAGAGGTACTGCTATTTTTTTTTTCCATGGTACAGTGTCGACTCGATGAGACAATTCAGAAATCAGTACAGGAGAGCGGAGAGTCGCCCGCGTGTAGCTGGTGGGGCGGAGGAGGTCCCTGCAGCTGCCCAACTAACCCATCGCCTCTGCCAACAGGGTGGAGAAGAAGGAGCGTGCACGGTTAAAAACTGTCAAGTTCCACGCTAGGACGGGTATGATCGAGTGTGGCAGGGTGAGTGTCCGGCTGCACCCGCCACCCAGCCACTTGTGGTTCTGACTGTGGGGGAAGGGTGGCAGTCAGAATAAGACGGCTTCTTTCCTGGAAAACTTATGGCAATTACTCTGCTCAGGTGTCAAATGTCATGCTGTCATGCTGTGACCAATTCCCAGTGGCGCATCCTGTCCAGATAAACAGTAAAACCAGCAGAGTGTATGAAGGCACAAATCAACATTTATTTTGTCGTTTTGTGTGACTGGTTCATTTTAATTTCGAAATTGTTTTCTTTCCTCTATCCGTTCCTTACATGTCCAGATGTTACCTTACAGATGTACACAGATGGTTATATACTGTGATACAGAAGCACATGCACCGCTGGTTGTGTGTTTTACACCCCGCTTGTGTGTCCTGCACCTCACACCCTGGCTGCTTCACAGCACCCCCATCCCCCGTCATCGCCATGTCACTGTGAGCCATCCAAAATGCAATGACACAGAATCGTGCTGTGCTGCTGGCATCTCGTGTTGGGCGGGGCGTCCCTGTGGCCCCTCACCCCCGCATCCATCCCTCACCATCTGCATTGCCCCCACTGAGTCAGTAACCCCAGGCCCCCAGAGCCTCTCCAGACTGCTTTAGCGGCTGATTCACACCTGTGAGTGCGGTATTTTTTGTCCCATTGTTGACTTCATGGAGGCAACGAAGAGCTGCTTAGGTCAGAACTGACGCAACCCCATCACTTTCAACTGGAGTTAACACCTCCCCCGAAACACTCCTCCCTTATAAAAACACTGGGGGAAATGTAAGCTATGTGGAATCCAGTGATCTGGAATGCATCCTTTTGGATGGGAATGTCCCCTGGTTAGTTACCCTCCCATTCTCATTGTTTCATCATTTGTCGTGCATCTCATTAAGGCTCATTTATGTTTGTCTTTCGTTCTGTCCATCTCTCTGCTCCCTGCAGTCAGTCAAACTAAAGCGTAAAAAGACATTCATCCTCTCGCACAAGTTCCCGTTTTACAAGAGCAAGGAGAACATTTTGGAGGAGTATGTGCAGCCTGACCGTGAGTACCCATGAGTACCCAAGGGGACAGGGCGACGCCCACTCTCCTCAGCACTTTCCTCCCTCCCCTCTCGGCTGTGGGTGCTGTTGGCCCTGGGGTCACTCACGTGGGGGTGGGGCTTTGCTGAGAATGTGTCAGGAGGAGAACCAGCCTTATGATGCTGTGTTCCTTTACTTCTTCAAATTGGTTTTATTTGTCTTATGGTATTAAATGAATTTGCATATTTCAATGGCAACCAAAAAGAACACAATGGGGAGCCACATGGTTTACATTCTGCTTCAGCCTTAATGAAGCTTTAATGAAGATATTAGGACCACCCCAGAGTTCCTGGCATAATTCTTTAGCTTCCTGAAAAGTGGTGGAAAAACCTTCCGACACCATGTAGAGCAATATCATAAGCCGTTATTACACTCTGGGTGTGTCCAAATTCAGGGGCTGCACCCTTCTAAGGCTGCATTCAAAGACCAAATGCACCACAGAGGCGCGACAAGGCTGTGCCATTTGGAAGGCTCCTTCAAATGCAGCCTAGAAACACGTCCTCCTTGTGCCGAATCGCAACATCTCCCAACATATCCCAAGACTCCTCTCACAGAGCTAAAATGGGTGTGCCTGGCTAGGCGATAGGAGGGGCGCTTCATAACTCCAGGGTAAGGGTGGGAACATAAAGTAATGGCCAGACTGTCCCGTTTGACAACGCTTTCCGTTCGACCTTTGAAGAACGCAGCCTACAAAGGTTATGCCTTCCTAGACCGTGTCCTTCGAAGGAAGCAGCCCCTGAATTCAGACACAGCTAGTCTTTATTGTTGTGTCTCCCACAAAAGAAGGGAAGTCCTGCCCCTATGCCAAGGCCTCCCATTGGCCACTGGGCTGACTGGCTAGAAGGTGCTGGTCCTCTCCCTGCTGTCTGTCTGTCTGGCTCTTGCTAACTTCTCTCCCCCCTGTCTACTCTCTTGTCTCCGTTTCCACCTTCTCTTCTTGGAATGTCTTCTCAGGACTTCCCAGGGTTAAGCGATGACTTTTATGGATCAAAGAGTATGAGTAAGTGTGTGGGGGGGCTTTTTTGCAATTTTTGCAACCTCAATCCTCGCCTGAGAGGTCACTGTAATTTTAAAGAGTAAAAGCTGAAAATCTTGAACCAGACATATTGTTGGTCCCTCCAGATTCAGTTCTGCAGGGCTCATAAATGAAGTTGGTTCTGTAACTCTAGTCTAGTCTGATCATACAGGATAGGTAAACCAGGATGGCTCTAAGGCTTTTGCACCCCTTCTTAAGATTCCCAACTGTTGGCCATGACATAAAGGCACCCCAGGCATGAGGCTTGTCTCCAAAATATCTGAGGGACTTTTGCCTTGAAGGTTCCACATAGAGTTTTAACTATTAACTGAAAACCCCTGCGAAAATAAGTCAGTATGTGGGTGATTTTTGAGATGTTTTTCTTCTTCCCTAGAATGTTTGACATCTAACACGAGTGACAGCGAAAGCAGCTCAAGTAAGTAGGCCCTGTTCCATGAGATCTTCCGTGAAATCCACACCACACATCGCTGAAGTCACTGTCCATGCTGTTTTAAAGCCTCACTTTTGTTGAATGCACATGTGTATTTTAGGCTCAGCCAGCCCAGCCCTTCTCAGCTTTCTCTTGTCATTTCAGAGGGCCAGGAAGACACCATTTTGTCCTATGAACTAGTGATCCGACAGGAGAGTAAGTGAGTTAAATGCTGACTATTTTTCATGATTGCTTCAGAATAAGGTTTTTAACATGTTTTTTCTTTAAACTCTATTTAGTTCATTACACAAGGCCTGTCATCATCTTGGGGCCGATGAAGGACAGGCTGAATGATGACCTCATCTCAGAGTTCCCTCACAAGTTTGCCTCTTGTGTCCCACGTGAGTGACCCAGTGCTCTGTCATGACGGCTTGGTGGGCCTGGTTTCCTTGGGTTGGTCTTCGGCTCACTGTGTCATTTGGCAGACACCACACGGCCCAGGCGGGAGACCGAGATGGACGGTCAGGACTACCACTTTGTGGCATCACGGGAGCAAATGGAGAGGGACATCCAGGACAACAAGTTCATTGAAGCTGGCCAGTTCAATGAGAACCTGTATGGCACCAGCGTGATGTCTGTGCGAGCAGTAGCACAACAGGTACGCGACACCTAAAGGATCAAAGGCTTTGCCCCGGGGTTTCTCAAACATCACGTCACCCAGCCTTACGTACAGAGTTCCTTGGAAAACAACATAGTACATGTAAAACTTCTGTGTCCCAGCCCATGATCGGGAAGCCCCAGTTCTTAAATTGACGTTGCTCTGCCTTTGTCGTCCTGTTACAGGGTCAACATTGCATCCTCGACGTGTCTGGGAATGCCATAAAGCGGCTGCAGCAAGCTCAACTCTACCCAATAGCCGTCTTCATCAAGCCAAAGTCTGTTGAGGCCCTCATGTGAGTCTCGCATGCTGTGCTAAGCAGGCAACAGCTGAGCATAAAACATGCTGCTATCTAAACCACATTAAATCTGTCTTTGGGCTCAAATAATGAACATGTTACCTTGAACAAATTCATTTATATTTGATCATCTGTTCAGAGTCCTGCCCTAGTTAGTTTTTACAGGTATGAATTTTTACCTGGCTAATTACTGATCTGTCTAGTTCTGTAATGAATGCTCTATTGTGTTGTTCTTCTCCAGACATATGAACAGGCCAACAAAGTCTTTGAGAAGGCAAACAAGTTGGAGCAGGAGTTCAGCGAATACTTCACAGGTAAGAAGCACTCACCAAACTCACACAGTCTCCCACTACTTGACATGAGGCTGGCTCTACCTTATTGCTGAGGGGGCTGAGCTTGCTGGATGGTTACACTAACCCCCCACCACCACCTTCCTTACACAGTAATTCTACAGGGCGACTCAATGGAGGAACTTTACAGCAAAGTGAAGAAGGTCATCGAGGACCATTCTGGTCCCTACATCTGGATCCCTTCCTCAGAGAGGTTTTGAGCCCCCCAGTCCTCTGGTCCCAGGAGCCTCTCTTATCTCTACAGACCTACATGTGCTGTAGGGTTTTCTACCACTTCACGTCTGACGCCACGACTGCAAATGTGTGTAACTCCTGCATGAGTTTTAGAGAAATCCCCTCAAATCTGGAAGTAACATTCCAGGCTCATTTTATTCGTGGACATGGAAGCAAAAGGAAAGGTACGTGGCAGAAGATGGACAGTGAGTCTGAATGTATGAAAATGTGTACGAAGTGGGGTCTGTAGATGCTGCTGTCAGATTGGGGATGAAGACGGAATAGTTTTTTTTAAGTGTATAAACACTGGTGTTAAAACACAAGAGTAGAAGGTTGACAGGCATTTTGTTTTAGTCCTACATTGTTAACAGCATATGAACTGACCCCCCCCCCCCCCAACCACAACCCCCTATGATGCTCAGACTATTCTGCTCATGCTTTGTTTTTCTAATTTTATGATGTAATTACAAACTGCTTACATTTTAAATGGCTGCATCAGGACCTCTTCAGAAAATGGGGAATCTGGATAAAATGGCATAACAATGGCAAATTGTTTATATTCTTGAAACTTCCACACGATTGGTAAAAATGTACGATTTTAGTACATATTAAAATGTTTTACACATGATCAGGTTTGACTACACGGTGGACTTGTTGAATCTGATTTTCTTTGTGTGTGTTTACTTTCTGCTGGGAATCAGGGAGTTTACAGGTGAGTGTGGACTCTCTGTAAAATGCCAAATTGCCCTGCATAATTAGCTAAACACAGTTTAGAAGGGCAATCATTAAATGTGATTGTGCCTGCAGTTAGGCAGTGGGGTAGTAATTTCCTGTTCCCCCTTGCTTTCACACCCATTGTTACTTTAAAGAGAGAGCTTCTCTTCATACTTCTGGTTTTCCTGTGGTAAAGGGAGGGTGTGTTACCATTGATAACAGCAGTCTTTAGGAGTACTAGACGCTTTCTCGTGCTCCATGAGGGATTCACTGCACTCAGGAACTGTAACTTGGGCCCCAGCCACTGGAGGACCCCACTGTAAAAGTGAGGAGTTTTATGAAGGGCCACACTTTGGCAGAGGCTAGTGAAACACAGACTGATGTCAGGCTGGACAGAAGTATCACTACTATTGGGAGTGTAAGGATGCTTTTTAAAATGTTTATCAGAGCTGTCCTCCCATGCAACATGGCTGCCTGGGCCTCCTTAATGTCCTCCACCAAACCAGCCATTATACGCGACACACTGTTTCAGATCTGCGAATGTAAATGACCCCGAATGTCTCGCTCCCAGTGCATTATGCAGGGGCTCAGACTTTATATTATTTATTTATTTAACGTTGTGTAAGTCGGCTTTGAATTATTCCAGGGCTAATTTCTGCGCAAATGATGGACAGTTTTAGCCAATCACGGCAGGGCTGTGAGTGCCTCTTTAGGCAACCTGTGTAGATATGGACTCATTGTAGGAATCATGAAGTCATCACTATAATTCAGGCACCAGCCTGCCTCGGAGGGTGCAGGTAACTAAATATTCAAGGCGACAAGTCCTCAAACACAGCTGGCACTGTTTCCACAGGCAGCCCTGTGCTTTAGGGTTTCCCTGTTGTTAGAGCTATATGTTTTTTCTTTTTCTTTGGGGAGAGGGGTTATTCCCGCCAGTTGGTTCAGTTGGCATGGTGGCTTCCTGGGGCTGACCTTGCTGGAGTCTGAGGAACAGAACAGTGCGTCTGCAGTTTCACGACGGCAAGCTTCATTTTGGCTGTTTTTTTTTTTTTTTTGCTTTTAGTTCTTGGAGTTTGAAATAAAATGTGATAAAGGGTTGCAGTTTGTTTTTTCCATTGACAAAATAAGCCCACAGCAAAACTTTGACTGCTTTTAATCCATAACGAGCTGGTTATCTGTGTCTGAAGGCTCATCACTCCATCACACTGAGATCTTGGGATCTGCCCCTTTTTTCTCCCAGACTTTACCAAGCACAGTTTATGAAACGGATTGAGGGGAGGCCAACCACTTACTGCACACATACTGAGAGTCAGCAGAGAGAACTTCACAAAATCGTAACGAGGAAACAAAATTCAGTAGTTAAAAACTTCTATCCAAGCCAACAGAGGATTGTAAACATTAGGGGATCGGGGCAAAGGTGCCGTTTCAATGTAGGGCCCAAACATGGAAAACGGAGGAAGGCCGTTAGACAGACCCTGTGACAGAGAAGGGCCAGCTGCTTACTCATCTATGATGACATTCCTGTTTGTTTTATCCAGCTGGTCGAGCACCTCTGCATAGAGGCTTGACATCTGTAAAGAAAGCAAGGTGTGGCCTTTCACACATCACTTCACCTATTCGTACTGGTGGTCTTTTTCCTAAAGAAACTGCAGGATGTGAACCACCTACTGGTTAAATTTTCTTTGTGCCTATACTGGCTTTTATCCAAGGGACCAAAGGTCAGTCCACTAATTAGATATTCTGAATCCAATCCAATGCAATAAACAAATGATACTTTTCTGCATGTGCAGTGAATGGGTTCAGTTGGGTTTATAGAGGAATCAAACAATGTTTTTATGTCTGTCACGGGGAATGGCCTGTACATTAACCAGTGCCCGCTGCATTCTTCACATATGACAATGGTCTTATCCAATGTGCATGGGTGGGAGTTCAGGGCATGAGCTCCCCCTGGTGGCCGTACCTTTATCCGGTAGCTCTCCTGCAGGGACCGGAGATGGCAGAGGAAGGCCATACCCAGGCCACACCACCTCTCTGCCTCAGGGAACTGGGCGAGACTGAAGAGCAGGATGCCTGTGTTCCAAGCCCGTGTGAGCAGCCACAGAACCTCCAGTTCCGGCAATTCCTCAGACTGAGACAGCAGATTGGGTACCCAGTAACCTTTTTTGCCATTACTGTTCTTTCTCCCATTATGATGTCGTGCCCTTCTCATGGCCTCAGTCAAACACACGGCCACCAGACCGGGCCTGACATTTTTAGCATGGTAGCGCTACAGCAGGCATGTGGTCTAGAAGTGCATTTGCACAGATAACTGCCCTCACTTGCATGTCACCCTTCTGGGAGGCAGGCTGTCCTGATTAAAGGCTTCAAGTGGCTCATTAAGGATTTTCTTCCAGTGTTAAAAGAAAACGGTTTGCCTTCTGAATGGCCTCCACCACACAGACCACCATGAGATGGTGGTGGATTTTAAAAGGGGTCAGTGGAGCTCACCGCAGAGGCGATGATGGAGCGGGCCTCCTCAAAGTACCCCCACACCTCCTCCAGCGTGCGGGGCTCCACCTCGGACACGCCTCCGGGCAGCGACAGCTCGATCAGACTGCACACCCACCGGCTGCGGGGGAGAAGGGGTGTCAGGCCGAACAAGCACCGCTTGTTTACTCTGAGAGAGACTGAGCCCTCACCTGCAGCGGGACGGGTCCTCCCGGGGCTGCTTCCTGTGCAGGGACAGCGCCATCTTCAGGGCTCTCTTGGACACCTGAGGGAAGTGAGCCGGAGGCTCCACAGCCAGGGCTGTGGGAGAGAAAGAGAACAGCACCGGACAGACACAGCTGGACTCGGCCCACCTGCCAAAATAAACCCTCTCTGATGTGAGAAATTGAATGTTGTCCCCAGGGAAAGGAATGGGGACTGTCTTTTCCCAAAATAATTTTCACTTCTTTGAAACCAGAGCTGCTCATTACAGATGAAGGCAGCCAGCCAATCACGCTCACATGCTGTCTGGGGGGTGGTGTCCACCCAGAGCAAGTAACACAATGCAGATAGTTCCTCAGAAGACACCAGGCAGCTCCAGCACTCTCTATTCCTTGCCTGCAACTGTCTCCAAAGTCTTGGTTTCCACAGGGTCCACCTCGAGGATGGCCTCCAGCACGGCCTCCAGTTTGGGGTCACTGAGCTTGGCACGAGCCTCAAACTCGTACAGGGAGAGCAGAGTGTCGGTGGGATCCCTCAGGAAGTCTCCTGTGGAAACAAGTTTCATGCTGCACCGCTTAGAAATGCCATTACAGCTACACATATTGGAAAAGCAAGCGTTTGATTACCTGGCAAATTCTAGAAAAAGAGTTACTATGGGAGGAATTGAAAATGAATGAGAGGAGACACCTGTGGCTTTTAGAGTTTTCCAGATTTCCCTGCAGCTCTGAATGTGCTCTAAGGCCTGCGTCAGCTGCTCTGTCTGAGGAGTAAATGGAATCTTTGTGACACACTATGCCCTCTAGTGGCTGCTAGCTGACATAGCAGCTGGGAGAAACTGCATATGAGCAGTGCAGTATTGTGGGTATTCCCCGGAAACCCTACCTGAGGTGCTGATTGTGCAGACATCCTATAGAGCTCCAGGCAAGCTGCAGCAGCCATGAGGAGGCAGGTCTTCTGCCCCATGAGCACAGCTTTTTCAGGCTTGCAGAACTGGGACAGCTACAAATGTGCACATGATCACGCGTGTTTGGAGGGAACAGACCCCATGGGAGGTGCTAGATAAATGTCCAGACGTAGCTGTTTCCAGTATCTGGGACAGGAATTGCCATCAGCCCCGGGTACTAACCTGATAGGAGAGCACAAAGAAATCCCGCATCCTGTCAGGAATTTTCACACACTGGAGGGCCAGGTTCCATGCTGGGTAATTAAAAAAGAAAAACAGTCAAAGGGGAGGGTCTCAACTGCTGATTGGGGAGGGGATGGGGAGGGGAGAGCATTTACCGATCTTCCTGAACCAGCTGGCCTCATCGGCCCGTTTTGCTGGGTCTGAGCCAAGCTCGCTGGGGAGCTGGGATACCTTCTGCAGAGCTGTGAAGGTGGGGGGGCGCATGGTTAGCGGATCACTGTGTACCAGACTGAGAGATGTCCTTCTACAGGCAGTCAGTGTCATGCGGGGAGATCCGGTGGACAGACAGGACCTCAGCCTGCTCTAAACCCACACCGAGGTGTCTGTAAATGTCAGATGTCCACATTCAGGAGCTGATAAGCATGACTCACCCATTGCCAGGTATGACAAGACAGCATCCAAATCTGCATCACTGCCAAGACAGAACACAGAAGAGTCGTTTTTAACTTGGAAAAGTTATTTACATACTTCCTTCAAGTGCAAATTAACTACTATGAAAATGGACATTTGATAAAACCAGTGAGGATCGTGTTTGACTTTGGCGCCACCTGCTGCCTGTATAACAACTTCCTCACTAACTACCAACCTCATTTCCTCACTTTCATTTTCCGTGGCAGAAAGAACAAGCCGAACCAAACACCTGTAAAAGACAGAGGGCCTCTGAGGTTTACAAACAGACAACCCAGCATATCTGTGTTATGAATTAACCTGCACCCACCTACTTACTGTCAGCTCCTCACAGCATTATTCATCTAGTCCATTTTTTTATGAAAAAACTAAGAAAATGGTCCAGATTACCAGATAAAATCCTTCAAATACCTCCAGCCCAAAACAGCAGCAGTGAGCCAACCACAGTCAGGAAATTCAATGTCAGCTGATGTGTACCCATGTGGGAGCTAGGGGGCGCCACAGGTGCGTCTATCTGCGGTGTGACTTACCGCAGCGCCCTGAGGGCCTGCGCGCTGTCCGCTGAGCTCTGGCACAGGCTCCGCAGGGCTGTTGCGGCCGTGTCCGGCTGTCCATTCTAGGGGATCACATACAGGCATGGTCACCACACACCCCCTTGGTCGGCATGGTAACTGCGGGCAGCACAGGTCACTTACCTCTAAGGCCATGTGTGCCGCCGCAGCCAGCAGGTCGGAGGCTGCACGGGGCCCCATCAGGAGGCGCTCCTGGCACGAGATGGGCTCCACCGAGAGCTTTGCCATCTGCCTCACGGCTTCCGTGGCTGTACAGACACAAGCCGGGTGAGCCAGGGGATGCATGAGCTTCCTGTGCAGGGTGAAACCTTTCAACCCCCACCCTGGTGCAGAAACAGAACTGCCATCAGTACCCTGCAGCATGTCCTTCTCCAGAAGTGCCACCTTGTAGATGCTGAACTGGGTGAAGATGTTGCCGGGGTCACATCTCTCAGCCTCATTCACGGCATCCTTGGCCTGTTACTCGCATATCACCCATTATACCGTCAGCATACAAATCATTAACAAAGGCTGGCAATATGGAGGATTACATTTAATGGCAAATATCAGGGTTTGGCACACATCTGGGATGGGGTTGCAGGGAGGCCTAGAGCCAAAACTGCAGGTACCTTGGTGCTTATGGACCATTTGCCCAATAGTTAACAGCTCTAATGGTGCATTTTCAAACAAGCCATGTAACCTTGATCTATTCTAATGAAAATATTCCCTTGAATACATTTGTGACGTTTATGGTAAGCACTAGTATAAGTCATACTGGGGTCCTTCAAAGCAGGTGCTAGGTATCTAAACAGCTTAACAGGGGACCTGGCCAGGGCAGTACTGAGCACAGGCCCACAAGCAGCACCTTCTCCAGCTGCTGCAGCTGCAGGAAACAGGAAGCCCGGTTCCGCTGCAGCTTGGCCAGGTTCTGATCCATGGTGCCAGCCGGGTAGAAACTCAGGGAGTAGCTGTACCACTGCAGGGCCTCTGCATAGTTGTGGGCCTGGTGGGTGTAGGAAGAGGCTTCAGGAAGGCGCCCGAGCAGCCCTGAAGGTGTCTCTGTGGCACCGACAGGCCTGGGCCTACCTCAAAGTGCCTGGCGGCTCGGTCCCACAGCAGGCTGTGCAGAAGGCAGAGGGTCTGAGGGGACAGCGGTTTGCCGGCATGGTGTTCTGTGGGCAAACAGACTTTCTGAAGGACTTGGGGGACTCATCCTACCACTGCGGCCAATCGTGGTGTCACTGAGCTACCATCATGACTGTGACCTGCACTCTGAACCCAACCCCTGCTTACCTCACAGCAGCACGCAGCCGCCACCCTCCAAGCCCAGTCCTCCGGACCACACCCCACCACATACCCAGCCACTCCTCCAGTACCTGCCATGATGCGCTCCACCTGCTGCTTCCCCTGCGCCTCCCTGCCCCTCTGCAGCAGCAGCTCCACATGCAGCACCAAGGCCACTCCCAGCTCAGGGCTCGACTCAAAGCACTGGCACACCTGCTGCAGGAACTCAAAGGCCAGGCTCTCCCTGAGCAGAAGGGGCAGAGCACCAGCACCTTTCACTAATAATGGCTAAATGAAGCTTCATGATCCATTTTCTGTATTTTTTGTTCCCACAAGACGGCGCTCTTGGTTTGCTTTGGGGCATGACTGGAGCCCTTTTTTGAATAGAGGGCACTATCTAGTGATGTCAGAAAAAACAGCAATTGGTTCATGAAGCTTCATTTTACCTATTTGTCCATGAGAAGATTTGCTTCCAAGCACAGAGCTTATAGCATGCAGTTTGCCAGCCGGTTTGAGGCTAAGAGCCCAGGTCAGGTGACCTACTGCTGGACAAACTGCAGCTTATCATGCTATCTGACTGAAATCAAAGCAGTTCACTCACAAATCTGTTGATCATTTGCGAGTTAAGGTAGACATCAGTGAAAAAGCAGGGGTTGGATCCCATTGCCAAAGCTCTGCAGCTGTACCTGTTCTCTGTCATGAGCAATCTCACTGTGCTCAGACAAACATCAAGAGGAATCTCTGGGCCAAGCAGCTGCATTATGGCTGATCACGAGGGTGGGAACACAGACAGGTGTGTAAAATGTCACTTTAATACATAATACATCTGATTCATTTCATAAACTGTAACCAGCTCTGCTGAGCGGGGCTTCATTCACTATGACCAGTCATGTTTTCTGAAGCCATATTTTCTGAGCTATGCAAATTTGCATTACACCCACCGGCTCTGACGTGTTCGTCTTCGGCTTTGCAGGTCAGTAAAATCCGCATTTTTAGGAATAGTCCTGATGGGTGCACGCTTTCCTGAAATGCAGCAACACCTTACACACTGGGGTTTCGGGACTGGGACAGAGGCTGAACCGGGAGCTTTCACAGAGGCGCGCAAACAGTTCCAAATACCGACACGGGTGCACCTTGTTGGCTAAGTTCACAGCACTGAGGGCCTTTTCCTTGTACTCCTGATAGTCCCACTCCAAAAAGACAGTTGCAAGAAGCCTTAGCACTTTGGCCTAAGCAGAGACAGAAGGAGACAGTGGACACTTCACACAGCCTCCTTCATTTTTCTGCCACTTCGAGCTGCCCATCGCAGGTCAGGCACTTACCCTCACTGAAGCTCCGGGACCAAACTCATTCATCTTCCCGATGTCATGGCTCTGGCTGCAAAGCAGGACCAACTCGCCTGAGCCCTTACAGCTACCTGCCCGTCGGCAGAATGTCAACCACTCACAGCATCAGTTTGAGCCCAAATGAGTCAAATTCATTGTTCTCCTTAAGTGTTTTGGGAGAATTACTATTAAACAGTAGGATCTCTTGGTTGCTCACAACCACAAGTCACATTGGAGCAACTGAAAGTCATAAGCAAGTATGTATAAATATCATGAAAACATCCCTTTTTCTTTTTTTACAGGTACCATGTAGTATTGTGCAAAAAATGCTCCATAAACCAGTTTATAATGACCCAGAGTGTTTCCCACTTTCCTTCACTCTTAACACAGGTACCTCAGCCAAAAGGTGCTCTCCCTGTACTTTTTCAAGTTGTAGTTGTTAATGCCAAAGTTATAACACAGGAGACAGAGGTAGCCAGTCTGGAAAAGAAAAAATAACATTTTCCAGAGCCTCACTGCACAGGATCCTCAGCATTACGGTGTGTGAGGGTTAGATAAGACTACCAACATCACTTTCGATTTTCTTAGCCCTAGGAGAAGCCCCAAAATAAGCTCAGTATCCTGGAAGGGGGTCCGTACCTCTTTGGGAAGCCGCTCCAACATGTCCTTGCACCGGGAGACCTGAGAGACGGCCCCCTGGTGGTCATCCTGCATCAAAGCCTACAGAAAGGAGAAGGGTCAAGGGCACAGACAGTCAAACAGGTGTCTGAAATGTTAGCGTTACTGAAGATGAGCATTACCCTATTTGGTATTCATAATTCACTTTTCTGTTTATAGAAATGACACATATCACAGTGTTCTCACAGATTCAGCCTGGTATGTCAGAACTCTGAAAAGGTCTTTCTCGATGTCTCCTTTTGGGATGTTGATATCCATCCTTCTCTCACCTCGGGACATGAGTTTGCTGTATAAGACCTCCAGACTCTGGAAATATTAGGAAAATATCATATAGAATAACAACAATCATCCATCTTCCAACTGCTTATCCAGTCAGGATCCTGGAGAGTTGTAGTCTCACAGGACGAGGCACAAGGCTGGAGTACACCCTGGATGAGATACGAGTCCACCAAGGCTATGCATGCAAAATTGCACAACATGGACATTTTAGAGACACCAGTTTACAAAACTGCATGTCTTTGTACTGTCAGAGTACGTGCAGAAAACCCATGTAGAAAGAGTAAATATCACATACACAATATCACATGCACAGAGCAGGGGTAAGATTCAAAACCCCAAACCAGGAGGTCTGAAGCAATAGTGTTACCCAAGGAGTCATGGTGCTGACTATTACAGACAACAATGGGATGAAAAGTATAGTTTCACATATACACCATAACTTTCCCAATCTGTCTGAAATGTGGAAACAACAGGTAAGATAATGTTTAAGACATGGGAGTCGGCCTCAGAAAGAGCATTATCAATGTCAACTTATCCAGGCACCGTCATGGTGATCTGCAGCTTACCCCAGAAGACATGGAGCATAGAGTCAGGCTTGGACAGGGCCCTTCTACAAACACTTACACATTCAGCACCCAGGACTACTCAAACTAACCATGTCACCTGCAGAGTACATATTTGGACTACAAGGAAAAAAGCTGTCACCCAGGGGAATTCAAACAAGCCGAAAATGTGAAGTTTCAAGTTGAGTACTGTAGAACTATCATCTTTCAGACTTACTTTGACAGCAAGGCTGAGAAACTCATCTGCCATAGTGGGATTTTTGCAGTCAAGCCACGTTCTGCCAGTCTTGGTGGCCATCTGCACATACAGAAATGCTTGTAATTTCTACCACAGACCGGGCACTGCCTAAATGTCCATTCACCCATCTCCTAACCACTAATCCTAAACAAAGTCGGGGGAGTTAGGGTTGGAGCCTATTCCAGGCAGCACAGGGCACAAGGCTGGGAAACACCACAGTCAACACACCAGTCGATTGGTTTGGGCAATTTAGAGACACCAATTAGCCATAGTGCATGTCTCTGGGCTTGGTGAGGAAATATACACATCACAGAGGGAGTATGCAAACTCCAAAGACACCGACATGTGGGATGCAAAGTCCCAACCTGGAGGTGTGAAGCTGCATGTCACACTGTGCTGCCTGAAGCTCTTCCTTTCAAGATTATTTGTCTTTCTAGATGTCATATCCTATTTTTTTGTGAAATGTTTCAATTTCCTCTTATAATGGGCTCTTTATTGGTTCTTCACCTTATTCAAGTGGCATCCCCCCTATTGTCAGTGTTAAGGCACACATGCCCCTGTTTCGTGGTGACACCCACTACCTCACATTTCCTGTTCACCTATGCTGATTTTTATGTGTGTGTTTAGACAGGGCTCGCAAACTAAAGCAAAGCAACACAGATCTCCTACTCAGACACCTGCAGCAAGAGGTCTACTGAAGTTAATCAGGTGAACTCACCAAGATCTGTCTGCGAAGTGTGCTTTCTGATGGGCTGTCGGACTCACACACATACAGCAGTCTGCATGCCACGTGGCGAACTAATGGTAAGTGATTACAACAGTCCAATAAAGACATGTGTATGTCATACTGTAATTACAGTTGCTCAAAAGCCCCATGCAAGGTTATTTTAAAGGCCACATAGGTCATAACAATGTGATTGTGCATATAAAAACATTTCCATGTTTGAAGGGATTGTTGCTATCTATCATCTACTTGGTCTGTAAATATTTGTATAGTTGTACAGCTTGTATGGGTGTGTCACGATCGCGGGGAAAGACGAAACAGGAAGGCGAAAATCCACAGGCAAACGGGTTTATTACCGTGACCAGGACAGACAGCGACGCACATTAATGACGGATCTGGGGAAACTAACTCAGACTCTGACTAAATACACAGGATAGGCAGAAAATAACAGGCAACAGATGATGACAATCGGGAAGTAACACGAGGTAACGAGGGGGGCGTGGCACACACGAGGATCGGACGAGCCGGGCGTGACGGAGTGAATATTTTTAGTGAAATAATTTGATTCTAATCAGCTGTTTTAATTACAGATCTCTCTAGTTGCATGTTCCTCTTTAACTGTGAAGAACTTTACATTCACTTGCAGATCTCGAAGTTTACACGGTTACCTTTGGCTTTATGCTCGAGACCTATAGCCGAACCCACATGCTTCGTCACTGCCCAGTTCCACAGTTGTACGGCGGTCTCTTCCACCTGCATAAGCGGAGTACAGACACGCTAGACCGCTAAACATATTGGCGCATGCGTGCTGATCGAAATGATTACAAGTGTTGGATTAATTATGGAACTACTACTAGGGTGACCACCTAATCCATGTCAGGAGGGACACTATGAGCTACTTCAGCTTTTACGAACTACTTTAACGCTGAAAGGGTTCTGTGCTCTGCTAAAATGTTTGGTTAGTTCCTAGATTGAAAGACTCATCCAGCTGTTTCGCATTAACATTACTGACACATATGCATGATTATAGGAGACTGACCAATCAGCACACGGCAAGAACCCAGTGCTTAAGTGAAATCCTGCTCCTTTTAATTGAAACGTATGAAATGGTGGTTTACAAATCCTGTTGTAGCTCATAGTGTCCCTCCTGACATGGATTAGGTGGTCACCCTAACTACTACATATCATTAAAATCTAAATTTTGGTGGAAGGGATTATCTTATTTAACGATCTCTAAAGCATATCACTGAACTTTAGCTGATGACCTGTAAATTAAGTGCACAACAGAGGTAGTTTGCGCGTTCCAGGTATGCGCGCGCCCCGCGACGCACGTCCGCACAAATGGTTCCCACCTCTGGATCCCACGATTTGGCAGCGGTCAGAGTTTTCAGACTTGAAACTTCATTGAACAGGTTTTCAATTATTTCGTCTATATTCACATTTATTTGGTTCTCCAGGAGTTTTTCTGTGGAAACTAAAAGGAAAATGTAAAAATAGGAAATGCAGTGCTTCCGAGCCCGCTAAACTGTGTCAGACGAACCGGAAAAAAAACAATATACCACACTAAATAATTTAAACCGGTTGCTGGCTGCGATAACACCTTGTAAAAGACTGTCAGGCAGCGTACTGGGTGGTCGAGAACTACCTACCTTTAATCTGTGCAAATAACGTTTCCATTCGTAAAATTAAAAATTTATACTGTGTGTGAAATGGCTTACGGGTGTGTAGCTGTACACGGCTAACCGGCACGCGGGGCCTCGCGCGAATGTCCGCGCGCCCTCATGTTACAGGTAGGTTTGCTATACATCCTGATTTTCCTGGGATTATTCTCTTTTTTTACTGTCTGTCCCGGAAAATTGATCATCTTTCCCGGGACGCCTATTGTCCAGGTTTTCCATTCATATATTCATTAGTTTAACTTATGAATAAACCTATAATTCTGCTGTTTTTGCATAAGTGTTCTCTCCCCCGCCATTTTGAGAGGTCTACATAGGCTTGCTGGTCTCTGTGTTGCTGCAGCGGACGCCTGCTTTTATATACCACATTCAACGCAGATTGTATGGGAAAAAAACCACCTTTGCGGAATGGGTATGGCCTACCCAAGCAGACCCGTTCTCTGCCTCCCGTATTGTGTGCCCAGCCAAAATTTTAGTGAAACATGAAGAGAAATTGGCACTCTACAACCATTAATAAACAAAAAAGCATCAGCATGGCAAACTGTATCCGTACACTGTATATCCAATATTTCCATGAAGAAGAGGGTGTTAAATATGGGCTATTGGAATTTTACGAGGACCCCCATGAAACCAGTAGAGCCATCTATGAAAAGATAGTGGACATCACAGAGTCATGTGGGCTGAGTGTCAGTAAGATCAGTGCATGTTGTGCTGACAGTGCCTCAGTTTTGGCAAGCATAATTCCGTTTTCCAAAAACTGAAAGATGTCAATCCATATATCATAAAGGTCAACTGCAAGTGTCACTTGATTCACAATAGCCTGAAAAATGCAAGCAGGATTCTAAGTTCAGCAGGACATGATGTGGAGTGCATTGTCCTTAAAATTCACAGCGAGTTCTCTTGCTCAGCCAAGAAAGTAGAATATCTCAGAGTTCTGCGAGTTTACTGTAGTACAATACAAACAGATTCTGAGACATTTACCCGCCCGTTGGTTATTCCTACTGCCTGCAATTCATCAGATCTTAGAATGTTGGCCTGCCCTGAAATCCTTTATTTTCCGTTAGGGAAGAATGATTGTCCTGCTGTTATTTGGAAGGCAATGTGCAACGGTGATGCTGCAGACAGCGGTGATGACGTGACAGTATCAGAGTGTATCCTATTGCTCATGCATAATGTCATGCAGGAATTTGACAGTGCAATTCGAAAGTTGGAAAATGAGAATGACTGAGTTTGTTAGATTGGCCGACAACTTCTTTGGAAAAGGTGTCCAGCATCTAGAAGCTAACTTTGATTTTGATGACCCGATACAACCTGCCTGCGACTGAGCGCTCCAATTGAATGGAATGCGCTCGAAGAATTAGTTGAGAAATTGAAACTGAAGGACATTGACTTTGACAAGCTGTATGATAGCTGTACTGAACGATGTGTTTGAAAGCATTCCAGAAGAGCTGACCCCTGACAAGAAATGGGCATTTTCTTTCAAGAGGGAGAAAACAGCGACAGAATTGCTGAAAGTGGTATCGTTTGTTTTGTCCGTTCCCGTCAGCAACGCTTATGCTGAGCGTGTATTTAGTCACATGGAAGATGTGTGGTCCGACAAAAGGAATAGGATGTCAGTAGAGATAGTCAAAGCTGAACTCCAGATCAGACTGAACTTTTAAACTGTCCTGCTTGGAGTTCAAAGCATTCGTCGAGGGACAGAAGGAACTTTTGCAGGCAGCAAAAAGGGGTGAGAAGTACAAATGGAGAAAGAGGTGAGAATTATTTAGTGTTCAGTTAAAGAAATATATGAAAAAGATAAATTAGGCTAAATTAAAATACTGTGTATAGTCTAAAAATCTATATTCAATATATAGACGGGGAGAGCAGCAGGGAAAGGAGGCAGAGTTCAGGGCCAGTGGCAGTGCGAGTGCGTGTGTGTCAGAGAGTGCACCACCCCCCCCCATATATTTCTTGAGAAAGCTGGGTCAGCCAGTCCCTGGAGCATTTGCGGTTATGTGTCCAACGACCATGGGGTCAGCACCAGTGACTGATGAGCCACACACCAGGCTGTGTATGTTTGTAACAAATATACGGGAATTGGCAAAGGTGCCTCCCATCTTCATTTCTTGGGCTCCTCCTGTTGTGCAGTTAACTGGCACCTCAAAATTTCCCATTGTGTGTGATTGAATGTGCCCTGTGACAGACTGGCATCCCATCCTGGGTGTACCCCTGCTTTGTGCCCTGTGACAGACTGGCATCCCATCCTGGGTGTACCCCTGCTTTGTGCCCTGTGAATATCTGTTTTCCTGTCCAGGATGTTCCTCAGCCCTGTGGTGCATGAGATAGGCTGTAGGTGCTCCTGTGGCCCTAATTGGGAAAATTGCTTGGAACATGGATGAATTTGACCAATACAGATTGCACATAGTGTGTGATTGTGTGGTATAAAGTATTTGGTTTATTAGTAATTCAGGAAGAGTGAGGCATAGTGACTGGTGAAATGAGATTCATTCATCTAACAATATAACTATATAACAATAAACGATTCAAATCGTTTATTGTTATATGTATAGTAGAAAAGTACATTTCTCTGTGCAATGAAATTCTTACTTTGCTGTCCACACAAAATGCCAAGGTACAATATAATAGAAAAAATAAATACTTTTAAGTGTAAAGTACAAAATAGCTTAATATGCAAAAAATTACAGTATGAGGTAGTATGGTACGGTATGGTAGTATGATGCCCATTATTCATACTCCTGTCGGCTGTTAAGGAGTGGAGGTTCTAGATTTCACATTTCTGTACCTCCATCCTCAGGGCAGAAGTGTGAACAGTCCGTGTTGGGGGTGTGTGGGGTTTTTGAGGATGGAAGCAGCTCTCCTCTGGATTTTGGTAGCTGCTCTGCAAAGAGGGCAGCGGAGTCCTGATGATCTTCTCCGCAGTCTTCACCACTCTCTGCAGGCGTTTGCAGTCCATAGCTGTAGTGCTGCTGTACCACGCTGTGATGCAGCTGGTCAATGTGCTCTCCACAATGCAGCTGTAAAAGTTGCTCAGGATCTTTGTTGACATACCAAACTTCCTCAGCCTCCTCAGGAAGTACAGCCACTGTTGAGCCTTCTTGACCAGTTCTGAGCTATTAGTTAAGTTCTCCCCAAACGAGCATGATGGGCCGAATGGCCCGCTCTCGTTTGTAAATTTCTTATGTTCTTATGTTCTTAGCTGTGTGGTGTTCAGTGTCCAGGTGAGGTCCTCACTGATGTGGACACCCAGGTACTTAAAGCTGCTCACTCTCTCCACTTCAAGCTCCTGGATGAACAGTGGCTGATAAGGCCTCCTTCTCTTCCACATGTCCACTATCATCTCCTTGTCTTGTCTGTGTTGAGGGTGAGGTTGTTGCCCTCACACCATGACTTGAGACCGGCCACCTCAATCCTGTAGGCCGCTTCGCCCCTCCAGTGATGCGACCGATCACTGCGGTGTCATCTGCGAACTTCAGGATGATGCTGTCTTTGTGGGAGGCAACATAGTCGTGGGTGATCAGGGTGTAGAGGATGGGGCTGAGGACACAACGCTGTGGGATGCCAGTGTTTGTGGTGATGCTGGCTGAAGTCCTGTTGCCGATCCTGACAGACTGAGGTCTGCCAGTCAAAAAGTCCAGGAGCCAGTCACAGAGGCATAAATGGTGACATTGCTTTTGTTCAGCTCTGCAGCAGGAAAGGAAAAGCACAGTAACTTGCTGCATAGTTATAGAACCACAAGGTGGCACAGTACTAAAATGGAGCCGAATGGCTTAGTCAGAGGAGAGTTGTCTACCTAGAATAAACACACACACAAAGTTGGAGACAATGACCAAATGGGAATCAAAGCCGTAACTGTGGAGGTTTAAGTCGGCAGTACTGGCTGTGCTGTTCCATAATGTATGCTAATATTACTCAAGCAATGTCTTAGGCTAAGATGCGATGGGGAATTCTCAAGAATGAACAGCTACGGAACATGCTTGGTCATATAGATCTAGAAGTACAGCAGATAACAGTGCTTGGTTTTAAGCCTAGTGCTGAAGGTGTGGGTGTAAAACTAAGTAATCTGGGCTGATGCTCTGGAACAGTAGTCGAAATGAATCCGAAATGTCAAGACGACCCTGTACGGGATGAGGAGTATGGAAGATGGATCCCTAGATAGGTGGCAGTATATGTTTGTTCTCCTGGTTTGTGTTAATTATTTGCTTGCTAATTAGTTCCTTTACATTTCCTTTGTACAGCTCCTTGACTCATCACCTTTGCCCATATATGCCTGTGTTGCCATGTTAACATCAGGAATGCCTCTGGGATGGGGTTCTCCTGTATATTCATGGCTGAATCATATTATATGGACAACATTATACGGACAAAAGTATTGGGACGCACCTCCTAATCATTGAATCCAGGTGTTTCATTCAGATTCATTCCCACAGGTGTTTATAATCAGCCACATAAGTATGCAATCAGGTTTACAAACATTTGTGAAAGAATGGGTCATTCTGAAGAGCTCAGTGAATTCAAGTGTAGTACTGTCAGAGGATGCCACAAGCAATAAGTCAGCTTGTGAAAATTGTTCCCTGCTAGATATTCCACGATCAACTGGAAACTCGGCTACGAATGGCAGACCATGCAAAGTAACAGAGTGGGGTCACGGAGTGTTGGGGCACATGGTGCGTATATGTCGCCAACATTCTGTTGACTCAATAACTGCAGAGTTCCAAACTTCCTCTGGCATTAAGGTCAGCAAAAAAAAACTGTGTTCCAGTGAAGGGAACTCTTTATGCTGCAGCATACCAAGACATTTTGGACAATTCTGTCCTTCCAACTTCGTAGGAACAGTTTTCGGAAGGTCTTTTTCTGTTCCAGCATGACTGGACCCCAGTACAGAAAAACCAAGGTCCATAAAGACATGGTTGGGTAACTTTGCTGTGGAAGAACTTGACTGGCTTGTACAGAGTCCTGACCGCAACTCCATCAAACACCTTTGGGATTAACTAGAATAGAGATTGTGAGCCAGGCCTTCACGTCAAACATCAGTGCCTGACTTCACAAATGCTCTTCTGGATGAATGGGCAAAAATTCCCACAGACACACTCCAAAATGAAGCTTGACACCACAAACTGGCCCCAGTTCTCCAGCAAAAATGGCTTTTGAGCACTGTGCTTTTAGGTTAGCATTTCAAGCATTATTATCTAGCCACCCTGCTGGGGTGTTAGCCTTAGTCTGAGGACTTACTTTAGGGAAAAAAAACAATAATAAAACTATGCGCCTACACTTCATATAAACTGATTAGACTAATCTGATTTGTCTTGAATACTTTCCTATTGCAACCATGGTTACATTCAAGCATCTAGTAATTGCATATTAAGAGATAGAGTTTGTCAAAGGTTAATTTTAATCCATCAAATCCGTCATTCTTCTATAATCCAGTGCAAAGTCACTGGAGCTTATCCCAAAAAGGAATGGACACTGAAAATGATTTTTATAGGTAATTATATGGGGAAAAGCATATTATATTGAAAAAGTGAAGCAATAGTGTATATTAAAACAGCTAAATAACACACGTACACACACACATTTATTTATTTCGAATGTAGCCTACCCTTAAACTACCCTACAGTATTGGCCGATCCCCTGAGTATTGATAGGAATAAAGTACAAGAGGATAAAAATGTGAACTCCCATAACCTGTCTTCTTTGGGGTGGGAGCTTGTTTTCTATATTAAGCCAGAGTGTCTGCAGCTCGGAAAGTCGCTTTGAGGCATTACTCGCGACTCGCCCCATTTGCACCAGAAAACCCCGTTCCAGCTCATCCTGTGACGCCTCCCTTCCTCTGCATTTCCTATAAAAGCCGCTGGTTCAAAGCGTGCGATCACTGCTCAAATCGGAGAGCTGCAAATGCAGTGCGGACACGTTTATTTTTAAAAAGGCATCGGTACCATTTATTACCCATCATGGAAGAAACTGGTTGAAAATCAAGTACTTTTATAGAAGCGCAGCACCTGTCGGAGATTGGCAGACCTCTGTCCGGGGGCCTGGAGTATAAGGAATACAAACAATATTCTCTTAAAGTTTATTATATGGACAAACTGGTCCTTTGAATTTATTTCCAGAAGTATACACATCGTCGGCACGTTTCCCAGCGGTGTTTTCGCGGGGCTTTGGGGAAGTTCCCGTACCCCGCTGTAATCCCACCAGTGAGAATGAACAGATCTCCGTGCGCATCGCTCTCACTCTTCTTATACTGTGTAGCGAGTGGTGAGTCCGGCAATCTTGTGCATGATTTCTTATATTTCCCATTTCTTCAGCCATGAACCATACCATTTGCCATATATGATAGGCCAACTCGGCTTCAAACTTGGTTTTTCGACATATCTGAGTGCCCTGGTATCAACACTGCCCTTGCGGGATATAAAAAATCGCAAGTTGCCAATGTAAAATGTTTGTATTAGTTAGGTTAAGTTTAAAAGCACCATGTAAAACAAAGTGTCACATACTAAGTGTCGATACATTTTTATGGTTTATTCGCACTTGATTATTTTGTATTCTTGAATACAAATTGTATTCGTTTCTATAGAGGAATCGTCAATGAAAAGCGAATTATTTCATTTATTTCATTTGCAAATTTGAAAAGCTGACGCATTTGTCTATGTTTAAAATTTATTTTAAAGTGTTATTGTGGAAAAAACAGTGGCATATCAACGGAAAGTGTTTCTTGTACCAGTAAACTCCGCATTTACGTCGTGGGTGCGGTCCCTATTGTCTCCACTAGAGGGCATGGTTGCGCTGAATCTCTGCTGTGCAATGGCTCGAAGCGCTGTTCAACTTGTAAAATGCTGGAAGGGGGCTTGTGCTTAATCAGTCATTCTTGTCAGCGCGTTATTACCCGTGTGTTTGTAAGGACACTGACCCACAATAGTATTTCAATAAGGCATATATGAAGTACACACAAATGAGACAAACCGTTTCTCCCACAGTTGAAGAAAGTCAGACTGATTTGATAATCTAAGGAATGCTTGCACCAAGGGCCCCATCGTGTTTGCTGCTTTTCCTCCCAAATCAGTCTATGAATTGATTTGGACTGAGTGAGCTGTAGATGTTGATATACAAGTTAAACCATTTAAATACTGAAAACAACATATGCTTTAAAATATTACTTACATGAGGATTGCCAATTTGACAGAACCTAATAATAACAATAACAATAATAATAACATTTACACCTTCTCACACAAGTTAACATTCTTTGCTTGATTTATGACCCTATAACAGCAATCTTACTTACACAACAATGTATACAGATTATACCAGTTAATGTCTGCATCCCAACACTTTTCACAGAATTTTTATTTGTTTAAGAGACAGTTTTTTTCAGTGGTTGCCTGCAGATATTGAAGTGTTACATGAAGACATTGCTAATGATTTTGTAAAGTACTAAAGCTGATCCACGCTGTTTTCCATTTTCTGTGCATATGACCTGTGTGATCATACAGAGTGATAATGTCTTTTGTTATGGACAGTTAGTTACTTCTCCAATCTCTCCTTAATGCGAGATCACTACAACGGCGGTACCTCTTATTCGTCATTGTATCACTCCTAGTTTTCGGAGAGTTTTATCATTTTATTATACCGCATCAGTTGTATCAGTGCTACAGATTTGCTTTGATGTCAGACTGATATTTTGAAGAAGAAGATGCATGCAATGAAAAGTATCCGTTCCTTGTTGTCCAACCTGCCACACGGTCACGCAACCGACGTCCAGCTAGTGGGAACAGACTGTTCAGAACAGTGTTAGGAGCCCAGCTATGAGCACCAGCGAGAGGCCGGGGGGTCATGGAGGCTGCTGATGTTTGCACAGATGCGGAGGAGTCTGAGAAGCTAAAGGCATGCTCCTGTACCGGATGGGTTTCAATCTGGATTTAACTGGATGAGACCCAGTTCCAGGTTTGCATAGTGTAGGGGTTCTGGGGGGAGGGGCGGGGGACTGAGATGTTGTGCAGTGATTACAATAGAAGTTTTGCCGTAGGGTGATTTTACGTCCCGCATTGTATTCTTACAAATGCAAACATAAACCATGATTCAAGTATGAGCGCTATTGGAATGAAAGGTTATAACACAGACGGCTTTGATTTCCATCTTTCCTGACAGCCCACCTCATTTTGCGAGTGTGAAAGGCTGTCAGCCTCCCTAAATATCCTGCTCTACCCACAACCACAAACAGCAGCTTCCCCCCCCTTCAAATGATGTAATGTTTCCCAGCCTGCTATTGATCTTGAGCATATTCTTCTGGGTCAGCTATGTTCCCATATGATCATAATATGGTTTTTTTAGCATTGTGCACCTTCCCTAGTTCCCTCCTCACGAACTGACGAGGCACGGGGAGGATGGTGCTTCAGCTTCAGTAGAAGTTGGCCAAAGGCAGGGGACCTCAAGGGGGATCTAACTTCACATATCGCACAATGTCGCTGAGCTCAATGAGGGCTGTCGGCTCCCTCCTGGTTTTCCGTCATGCTGCTTGGCCAGAAAGTTCAGCAGCATCGTGACATTTTCTGCTTTCTCCTTTTCAGTTATCTGAGCGATCATGACAACCTCTTCATCTGAATTACATGTTGACAAATGCAGGACATAATATTGCTGGACTGAGCCGCTGGCGTGAATCGGTAATGATTTGTGTGATTATTTGAGGCACTCAGCACTCATATTAGGGCTGGTCAGACCAGTGCGTGATGAGTAGCCACTGAGCCCTTGTGTTCCATGTCTCCCATTTCCTAAGAGAAAATAGGAATTTGAGAGGCCCGGGATGAATCTTGTTTGTACTGTCTAAGTATCCAGGCTCTTCAGATTTGAGTGTGTGTGTTTGCATGGATTTTGCTGTATTTGTAGGGAAAAAACTTTGAATTATTTTAAGTTGTAGCACTAAGGATTCGTTGCAGTGGGTTAAAACATTAATTGCCCTTGATGGGACATTGATGCATGGCGTGTGTTTGAGTGTACTGTCACTTTTAACAGGAGAATCTGCAGCCTAACAAAAACAATCCTATTGCTTCTTTAGCCTGGAAAGCAGGCCAAGCCCTGCTCCTGGGAGCCTGCAGTCCCCCCTTGCTGCTGAATCAGTGACTACACCTTATTTTGGAAAAAGGCCTCACTGCCTTTCCTTTCCCCAGTGAAGTCCATAAATCTGCCTTCAGCACACATTGTGCTCTGGCTCTCCATTGTCCTCTCCGAAGATCCAGATGTAAAGGCAGCTCATTGCCGAGGCTCTAGCTTTGGTTTTCTGCGACCGCGTGGCACAGTGGTATGGACTGGGACCCTGGAGCCTGCAGTGGACCGGCACTGTCAAACAAAAAACATTGTTCTCCTTCAAAGTAAAAAGCATGAGTAAAGAATAGACCCGTCACATTACACGTCAGTAGCTTTGGGTGAGAAATGCTTATGGAAAAACTGTGTTAGAAAGGATGTTTGAGCCAAAGAATAACACCCCAGTTCAACCCACAGACAGCAGGTCCTCTCCAGTTTTTGTGGGGTCCTATATTTCCCTGCTGTAAGTGCATAATAACCAAAGAATTAAAGGTAACGGTCATGGCTGGGGTATTCATCACAAAATCATGAGTCTGTCAGGACCTTTGCAGAAGAGACCCATTTAAGGACTATGCAGAAACAGGGAGGGACTGACAAGAAGGTCCTTGCTGGCTTCTGTGTAACTTCCAGTGGCCGCTGTTCTGCTACCGTAACCATGGAAACCACATATCGGCAGTGAGTCGCCTTGCCTTTCCTCTGCTCTTTAGTGCTTATCAGCTAGCAGGCCCCAGAATATTTTTGTTCCTTTTGTCTCTTCAGTCTCGGATTCTGTAACAAGGGCGATCGGTGAGGTGACGCGGCATGGCCGTGCCTCGCGTGACGTGCCCACCTTCACCCTGAGCCTGCCCTGGCTCATGGGGCAGTCCTGCCCACGTGGGCGGATGGCACTGCCAACGCAGGAAGTACACAGAGATCCGCTGCCAGGCCAGTGAGCAGTTCCGTGCATTCTTCTCCAGCGGGTGGGCTTACAGCGATGGGGGGGCTTTCCCCAGGCAGACTGAGATTCAACAACACCCGTGGTCTGCCCCGGGGGAGTACAAGGTCCTGCACTTACCATGTCGCCATGGCATTTATGAGTGTATTTACAATACAACAATACAGCTCAACCATTAGCCTGTATTGTTCCCAAAGTGTGCCTTTGTTTAGCGAGCAGCCTGGTGCTCTTCATTGTTTTGACAAGGACATTTCTCATGTCCCTCAGGGCAGAGGTTCATCTCTGATCATGTCGCAGTGTGTTTCTCTTCAGCCTTTGAGAGCAGTAGTTTGTGCAAGCAGTTTCAGTTTAATCACTGGCCAGACGGCTCAGCCTCTCTGCACCCCCTAAACCTCCCATTCCGCTAGACACATCACCGGAACACAGCTGATGTCGGCCCTGGGAAGCTGGAGTGCAGGAACATAGCATGGTGGGGTTTGACTAAGGAGATTCCAAGTCCTGCTGAGAAAGTCAGCAGTAGATACTAAACTAGAGACTCAAGGGCCCATGATCTGCACAGCTCTCTGATTTAATGCTGAAAGATTTTAGCTCATATACCTTTATTTGGGTTGAGTAGATGATGCTCAGGAGAAACAGTAGGTACTCGTCTGGAAACCTCTGTAGGTAAAAACCCACCAAAGAGGTGGCGACACTACAAAGGTACAGTACTATGCAAGTCTTAGGCAGTCAATGGAAATGTTTAAAGCTGTTTATCTGGGTAGTAAGTGCACATTTGCTCAGAACAAAAACATGATTTACTATTAGAACATATGCAATAGTAATTAATAGTAATGAGGTGTTGACTAGGTGTTGCAGTGACTGAGTCAAAAAATCCTTGGCTGTTCTGGATGGTTTCTGCAAATACTGGGGTGGCTTTTGGAGAGGTTTTGAAAAGGCTAAGCTGACACACTTTGACAGACATCACAGTTTTACACCAAGATGAAGATCATCTAAACATCATCTTCTTTGGTTGCCTAAGACTTTTGCACAGTGCTGTATATGTGTCCCTTTGTGTGAATTGATGAGCACTAGTATGAATAAAAACCCATGTGGAAACAAAGAAGATACTGCAAGCAAATTAACGGCACTTACTGACCCGGCCCCCCCGATTGTACTGCGCTTTGGATAAAAGTGTCTGCTGAATAAATAAACGTGAATGCAAATTAAGCCATGCCTTCCCCAGGTCTATGAAAGGCATGTGCACCACATGTGAGCTTTAGGGAAATAAAACATTCTTACGGCAAATTTGGGTTAAAATCTTGGAATTAATATGCCGTGTTATTTTCACTTCCATATGTGTCCTGTTGCTTTTATTTATACACATGCATACCAGGGCTGAAGGTCAAGCACAGTTTCCACATAAGTGGGTTAGAGCTGCCAGCATGGTTTCTGCCATCCAGTCAGTCTAGTTGACGCTTCAAAGTGTACATTAACATGACCTGTTTCTGTAATGCTGAGATCATTAATTTCAAAGGTTTTAGTGCAGCGTAATCACAAAGCGCCCCCACCAGGCTAATAGCAGTATGACAGATTGAGCTTGTTTAGGCTCGTGAGGCTCTTCCTCCCACCAGCACTAAAAGGAACAATGACAATCAAGTCTCTTTGTATTTTTGTGTGTATTATGTGTGTGAGGCATGTACAATGACTTTTTCCCCGAAGACATCTCAATCCGAGCAGCCATTTGAATGCGCTTTGTTGCTGAGCCTGGTGAGTGACTGTCTCAGTGGAGAGCAGCCTGAAAAGGAGGAAGTCGCTCATGTCATGAGAGCAGCACCTCGCAAACAGGAGGCAGAAGGACAGGCCTTCCAGCCCCCAGAGCCATCAGCAGGACCTGTCGTCAGCCCTTGCAGGCCTGCCATCGACACACCCACACCCTGCTGCCCCTTGTCATCCGTTGTTCTCCATTTATTTAGCTTGTTCTCGTCTGTTTATTAATAGCCCGTGAGCCTGAACAAGGTCAGTAGTGGAGGGCAATGGGGCACCATAGAGTAGAATCTATTACAAAAGCTGGCTGAGATGATGGGCCATGGTTCTGATGTGACCTGGAGCGGGCCACTCCGGCCGCGGGTTTGGCGTGACCTTGAGCGGGCTGCTCGCACCCTTAACGCTTCACCTTAATAACATGCATGGTTTAAACCAGGGAACCTGTTCCATGGAGGGCGGTGTGGGTGCAGGTTTTTGGGATGGCCAGTAACAGAGGGTCCCCAGGACTGGAGTTGAGAACCACTGTTTAATTATTGGCTGATGGGAAGGTCTTCCCATAAACCCACACCATGGAACAGGTTCCCCTGGTTTAAAATCTTCACAGATTCAGGTTTATTGGCCAAGTATGTTCACACACACAGGGAATTTGTCTCTGGCTGTCAGTGGCTCTCATTCATGCAGCTAAGAGGAAATGATATGTGGTTGATACACTGAAAAAATTGCAAGAGTTTATGTCATTGAAAGGAATGTAGGAATAAATGCAATAAGTACAGGGTCATTTACAGCATGCTCTACTTTGGATAGAGTGGTGGCTCTGAGGCTAGGGATCTGCGTCAGGCTGTTGGTTTAAATCCCCTGAATGCCCAGTGTCATTCTACTCCATTGGGCCCTTGAGCAAGGCCCTTAACCTGCAATTGCTTTATCTTGGGTGTGACATTAATCTACATCCAGTCCTATAAATCTTGGGGGTTGGTGGCAGGATTGGCACTCCAGCCACCAGAATAAACCTCACACTGGTCCATTCAGACTAGCATGGTGCTGAGGTATCACACACCACATGGCTGCACTCAGGTTCTCGTCCCTGAGGTGGCTCCGCACAGCGACGCGCTGCTGGTGTTCAGTGTGTTCAGTGTGCTGCTGGAGCAGGGGCCATTTCCACAGCCACGTGCTGCTGTGCCCCCGCAGGGCTGCAGGAGGCGCTGAAGCTGCCGGCTCCGCTGCTGCTGCCCCCCGGCGACACGTTCCTGCACCAGGCTGGAGACTCGCTTCATCTCGCCTGCAGGTACGTGGCCTGTCCCACTCCCACCTCACAGCCGTCCGCTTTCTGCGTGAGCTCTGACTCCTACTCCCCCCGCACACCGGCATACGTGTGTCCCGCCCCAAGACGGCAGATCGCACACCCCTCTTTGTCTCTGTACGTGTCAGAAATCCCCATTGAGGAATTCACCACTCAAGCAGATTAATCTTGCAGGAGTAACATCTGTTTCTCTCCTTCATTGTGAAAGTCATATTTCCTAAGTTTACTTCTGAATGACCACATGCGGAGCAGAATTGTTGCTTCATTGTTTAGTTTGGAATGCGGCTCACAGCATTCGTATCCTCGGATCGCTCATTTAGGAAGTCAATAAGTGCCGCTTAGGTGCTTCGCCGATAAGGGGGTTGACACCGGCTCCTTAGGCCAGCGTGTACCGCACTACTTTCCATCTATGTTATCTTCAGTCCATTTTCCATGGCCTTAAACTCAGTGCCAGCTTGAAGCCTTTCCAAACAAGCCTGACACACTAAGGACTAGTTAGAGCCTGCTGTCCATGTGAGCTGCATGTGTTTGGATGACCGGAGAGGTGGGAATGAAGCAGAGCCTCACACATATCTGTGACATTACTACCAAATCAGAGTAAACAAAAAAATTCACCTGGACACCTGGATTAGTGCACAGGAAGTGTCTGACAATTTAAAGTTAATGCATCTGTTAGTAATCCAGTTCTTTAAGGCTAAATAATGTTGAATATCTTTAAATTACTCTAGTGAGTAGCTGAGTGAAGCCTTAGATTTCGGCTGTGAATATAAGGCAGCATTCACTTTGCCGTTTGCACCGTGACCCTCCTTGCGGTTCACCTTGTGCTGCCCTCCTCCTTCACTGTTGATTTTGATGGCTCTGGAGTGACGGAAGCGGTTGGGCCTGATACTTGTGCTGCTGTGTTGCTGCCTCTAGGGGGCAGTCTGGGCTGAGCTGGAGCCTGCCCGGGCGAGACCTGGGATCGGAGGGGGTCGCGGTGTACGAGGAGGCCTGCGAGGATAGCGTGTACAGCCACTGCAGCCGCCTTGCCGTCCACGCACTGACACACAGGGACACCGGCTGGTACTCCTGCAGCTACAGCCAGCAGAGCCTGGACAAGGACAGCGCCACCTACGTCTTTGTCAGAGGTGAGCAGTGCCTGCTGGTCGCCAAACACTCCTCTCTCATCATTGGCTGCGGTCTTGTGTAGCAAGTACAAATCCAGACCAAGGTTTTGTTCCAACCAACCTGTTGAATATATAGAGTCACAGCCACAAGTACTCAAGTGGTTGGTTTTAACAAAACCTTGCACAGCTTTACTCTTTTTTAAGCTCCCAGCAGTGCCCAGTCCTGTGTCTGGACAATAAAAGGAATGACAGACTCCCTGCTATACGTCAGTTAAGGCAGCCATAAATGGGGGGGGCAGGGGGGCCTGGTCCACAGCAGCACGCTTTACCAGCACATGCCAAGGGGCCGCTTTGTGGGGGCAGACCTGGGGGTCCGCATGTCCCGAAGAGGCAGAGACAAAGGACTGTGTGGGGGCAGGCCTGGGGGTCGGCATGTCCCTATGAGGCAGAGACAGAGGACTGTGTGGGGGCAGGCCTGGGGGTCGGCATGTCCCTATGAGGCAGAGACAGAGGACTGTGTGGGGGCAGGCCTGGNGTGTGGGGGCAGGCCTGGGGGTCGGTATGTCCCTATGAGATAGAGACAGAGGGACTGTGTGGGGGCAGGCCTGGGGGTCGGTATGTCCCTATGAGACAGAGACAAAGGACTGTGTGGGGGCAGGCCTGGGGGTCAGCATGTCCCTATGAGGCAGAGACAGAGGACTGTGTGGGGGCAGGCCTGGGGGTCGGCATGTCCCTATGAGGCAGAGACAGAGGACTGTGTGGGGGCAGGCCTGGGGGTCGGTATGTCCCTATGAGGCAGAGACAGATGGACTATGTGGGGGCAGGCCTGGGGGTCGGTATGTCCCTATGAGCCAGAGAGAGAGGGACTGTGTGGGGGCAGGCCTGGGGGTCGGTATGTCCCTATGAGGCAGAGACAGAGGGACTGTGTGGGGGCAGGCCTGGGGGTCTGCTTGTGTCAATGAGCGAGTGACAGCGACTATATGGGAAACCCGGCTCACTGATTGTTATTTCCTCCCTGGACTTCTGTTCATCCCCAGGAAGGGGGGGGTATGACCTGTTGGAGTTTATGGTCTGATCTCCACAGTCAGTGCACTCTCCCTCCCTCTGTTTTTCTCTCTGTCCCCTTCTCTCTGGTTCTCTCTCTCTCTCTCTCTCTGTCTCCCTCTCTCTCTGCCTCATAGCTGCATACAGAATCAGCATGTCCGTCAGCTGTTTGATTGATCCAATCGGTGGGTCTATAAGCCCCAGTGAGTCGAGGGCCCGTCCGCCTTCTGGCATTTCATAGCAGTCAGAAACATTTCATAACCACTTTGTTTCTTTCTTTGCTGTTACCTGTATTATTCTTCCATCCCACAATGCCCTGTTCAGCTAGCCTTACTTGGCTCTGGCGCCTCTCCCCGGCTGACCCGCCATGCCTCTCGTCCCCGCAGATGAGCGGTGGCCCTTTGTGGAGCCGCACGCTTGGAGCCCACACGCCCTGTTTGTGTACGACGACGCCGACAGCATCGTGGTGCCCTGCAGGGTCACGGCCCCTGACTTCAATGTTTCGCTCTCAGGGGTGAGATTCTCTTCCTTTTTGTAGAATGTCTCATTATATGCAGCCCCTTGATTTTGCCTGTTTGTGATATTTTGTGATATATGAAAAGTACCTGCACACATAATGTTTGACCGAGCATACATAAGCACAACGGTAACAGATATTGGGAAGAGGTGCTATGGGTCCCCAGCATTTCCTGTCATGTGACATTGAGGACAAACGGGCCATTCTGTCTGCTGGCTGTGGGCACAGGAAAGGGGTGGAGGTATACAAGTTACAGCTCATCTTAAATAAACATTCTGCTTTACACTTCATAATGACGAAAATTCCGTTTATAGGTATCCGGGGATATTCGGGGATTCCTGGTGCTTCCAGGTGACAGTCACATGTCTCCTTCTGAGCCGCGTATTTGGCGGGGACTTATGTGACCGAACTCCCAGCAGAGAGGATCCCATTTACACGCTTCTATAGGGCTGGGAATGGCCCCATGTCCTGCAGACAGTAGCCTATGAACTGATGCATACATGGAAGCCTGATCGGGAAGGTGTCTGTGTTCAGATCCCGCCCAGTGTCAGGGATGCCGTGCAGTGGGACCCGAAGGTGGGCTTCCGGGTGCCTTTCAGCCGCCAGGCCCATTATGGCCTCCTGAAGTGTGCCGTGTCCCCCGACGGCTACCTCCACGAGTCCTACTACATCACCCTGAAGCAGCGTGAGTCTCAAAGGCGGGAAGCGGGCTTACAGCATGCCACACAGGATAGGTACACATCTCGGAGGTTTCGTGACCGCAAAGTGGTGTGCGGCTCAGCAAGTTAGGATGCGGTTCCTATAATTGAGGGTCACCGGTTCAAATCCCAGAGTTAGCAGAGTAATTTCACTCTCCAGGGATTATATGAGCCTGCTTTCTCAAAAATGTTTGCTGCTTTGGATAAATAAGTAGGCATGGTTAGTTTAGCTTGCCCAGGTCTGTTTAGCTGTGGAATACGGGAAACCTCAGTGGCTGATGGATTCTGACTTGGCCCTCCCTGCTCCGCCCTCCCCAGCCTCCCTCCTGACGAATGTCCGGATCCAGCCGGAGCGTGTAGAGTTACTGGTGGGAGACACCCTGGAGCTGGTCTGCTCCGGAGACACCACCTTCAATGGCAAGATTGTCCTCACGTGGGAAGTTCCAGAGACCGCCGTGAGTCCCAGTTGGGGGCTGCCATCCATCAGCCTAGTCCTAGTTAAATACAGCTGTCACCCTCCCCCCCCCCCGGTCACACGCTGTGATGGTTATACATGCCAGGACACATAGATAGGGACAGATACACAAAAATGCAGCGTGTGGGGGAGGGGGGGAAGTTGTGTGTGTGAAGATGTTGTGCCCGTAATCAGAAGGTCACCAGTTCAAATCCCAGGGGCGGCATTTGCTCGCATTTGCATTTGAGGGACCCTCTCAAAAAAAAAAATTCCTGTCGCTTTGCATTAGTGCATCTGCTAAATGATTGTAAGGCTGCCTGCTGACACACTCATGCCGCAGGTGAATCAGACGCATGACTTCAGGAAGTACCGGGGCATGCAGAATAACGTGGTCTCCATGAGCAACAAGCTGTTCGTGAGGGGCGTCACCCCGGCTGACAGCGGCCGGTACCACTGCAGAGCCCAGCTGCTCTCTGAGAAGCACGTGGCAGCGGACGTGCTCGTTCACGGTGAGCGTGCGCAGCTTCTTCTCCTGATGGCTGTTAGCATTTGTGTCCTCCGGGAGGCTGAGGATCTCGCCTCGTCTACATGCCTCACCGGGTGAAGAGATGTGTTGTTGTTGTTGTTCATATTTGATGCCCTTTTGCAATTGTGTCTTTCTTTGGAACATGCCAGAGAGGCCTTTCCTCAACGTGTCACACAAGGGCAGCAGCGTGATCAATGTCCTGGAAGGCCAAAGACTGACCTTTGACCCCATGGTCAGTGCGTATCCCCTCCCCAGCACTGTCACATGGTAAGGTTGACACACAGGGCACAGTCTCTGTACGGTGACACGCTGTAGGTCTGTGTGCGGCCCTGACCATTAACTACAGGGCGGCGCTCTCTCCAGGTTCAAGGACGATGCACCCCTCCAGGAAAACTCTACGTGCTGCAAGCAGTCGCATTTCAGCCTCCTCCTCAAGGAGGTCCGGCAGGTGGACGCTGGCGTCTACACCGTTGTTGTGGACAACGAGGACAAAGGCCTGTCCGGGAATCTGAGTTACACCCTTGTGGTGAATGGTGAGGCCCTGTATCTCTGTAATAAATATTGAGATATTTATAAAAATTAAAAAGGAGCTGAAACTATAGCCAAAATGGTGCATGTTATTTTCTCCCAAAAGTTGGTGGTGTTGCCACAAATTGTGCCAACAGACACAAAGCATTACCGACAAATCACTTGCTTTTGCTCAATATCAGCCCTATGGAATCCAAAATATTTCCGGATAACAGAAGACAAATGTCTTTTGGTGGCCAGTTCTTGTTTACTTTTCTCCTTCTCTTTCTCACAAACACGTAAAATAACCTATAAGTGAGTCTGACAGCAAGGAGGAAAATATTTATGTTTGGCTCAGAGAGCACATGCAGAGCTCATGCAAAAGCAGTGGCAAACTTTTAACATAAATTTTTCACACATATTAGATGATCTTGAAAAGAAACAATCATTAAAATTCCAAAACTTCCTAAGTTTTGTTTCTAATGACAAAAATGAGTAAAAATGTTTGTAGATGGTCGTGGCTCAGCTGACTGTCACAGTCCATGCGATGTGATAGTCGCATGTGCTTAACATGCGATGTCAGTAACAACATGGCACACCATGCAGATCTTGTGTCAGGTCAAAGGAACACGACCTGACGCAGCATCACTCCCAGTAACCGGCATGATTTTTGATCACAAATGTGGACCCCCTGCACTGTGAATGTGAAGGAGACGCTGCTGTTTCCCACCGATCTGCTGGAGGAACTCCTCCTGTGTGCTGCTGGCGTCTGGCTCTGGAAATAGCAGCATCGGAGCCCCCCCGCAGATGGTCTTGATTAGTGGCCCCTGCGAGTCCCCCGGTCCTCTCGCTGCAACACCCACCCCTCCTACCCGCCACCATTTTATCTCCATCTTTCTGCAGCTCGTCTTTCAGTATTTTGCTGCTCTCTGACATTCTTCCTCCCTCCTTCTCCTCCGTGCTGTTCCATTTCCTCCCTTTCTCCCAGTCCTGCCGTGCTCTCGGCTTCTGCCTCAGCCCCTCGCCCGTACAGCGTGTGGGTTAGTAAGTGTTTAATTAGCAGAGGGAGCCCAGGGTTCCTGTCCAAATGGTGTGTTGACCCACTCCACCGCAAGACACTTGCTATGGACTGACTTTCCAAGAGATTTTTCTCCAGCCGCCTTTTGCAGTCACTGCAGATTTTTTTTCCCTTCTTTTTAAAAAAAAATTCTTCTGGAGTGCTGCCTCGCGCATTAATCACTGACCAGCTCCCTGCCATTCAGCTTTATTGGCCTGTAAGGGAGAAGGGCTCCAGGACAAAGAGAACAGACACGCGTGGGTCCTGGCAGTGATTAGGAAAGCAGCGCAGGCTTTGCTCATGCAGCGTTTGAAGACCACTTGCTGCTCCACTTCACTCCACGCTTCATGTGCAAACAGCTGGATACAGATGCAGCCTCATTAGGCCTCAGACTGCGCTGCCTGAATGGAGACATAGGGGGCTGCCCTCTACTGCCACATATGTCAAATCATCATGTTGTCTTTACTGTTGCATTTTAAATATATATTTATTTGTTTAATATATGCTTTTATCCAAAGCATCTTACAATAGAGAAATTCCATGTCTCTTTTCTCACACAATTCATCCCGAGTGTCTGACCTCTCACACGTTTGATCCCATGTCTCTGTTCTCTCACAAACTTGATCCCATGTGACTGGTGTTCCTCTCATACTTGATCCCGTGTGATTGGCGCTCCTCTCATACTTGATCCCATGTCTCTGTCTCCTTTCATCACAGTGAAGCCTGTGATCATAGAGAAGGAATTGGATACGTTGACCCCCCAGCCCTACCTACTTGGGAGGGAGTACTCGCTCACCTGCACTGCCTTCGGAAACCCCATGCCTGACATCGTCTGGGAATGGCAGCCCTGTGACCCGAACCCCACCCTCACACAGTGAGTGTCCCCTCCCGTCCCCGCAGCAGCTCACGGCCCACCTCGCGGGCAGGCCCACCTCGCGGGCAGGCCCACCTCGCGGGCAGGTGCTTGTGGCAATCCATTACAACGTGATTTACACAAAGTGGTGCGGGATGCAGGAAAAAGGGAAGAAGGAAAGAGAGAATGCCAGAAGACAATGGAGGAGAGGAACTGAAACTCCCAAGAAATGAGAAAAAAAATCTGGTGGTCCAAGGTCAACTGAGAGTATATGTTACAGATTAGAGTTCATGCCACTATCTGTGCAGCTCTGCCCCACATGTCTTTATTTGAAAATGGGGCTTTAGTAATATTGCTGTTAGGGTTAAGGTTAGGGTTAGGGTTAGGGTTAGGGTTAGGCAATTCTCCCTGGGTTCTGGACTCACCTGAACTCTTTAGGGTCAGATCTCTGTCTTTGCTTGTGTCCCTGGCATCTCTGTGCCCCCTGCTGTGATGAGGGTGCGATCCCAACCAGCTGGGGGCGGCCCTAAAGCCCCACACAGCCTCACCCCAGACCATGGCTCAATCTGCCATCTCACCCTTTTTTTAATTCACCCCCAACTTACCTATTCGATTTATAAAGATAAAGAACTTGCCAATTAAACGCTGTCACCAGGAGGCTCGGGGGCGTATCTCTGTTGGCTCACACCACCAGGGTTGTGGGTTCAGTTCCCTCTTTGTATTCTTGGATTTTGTGGACTTTGCATGTTCACCTCATGTTTGTGTGGGTTTTCCTCTGGGTGTTCTGGTTTCCTGCTGCAGTCCGAAGGCCACCACGCAGGGTATTCAAAGGCTTCAGGGCTCTAGGTTAAGAACAGATGCTGTTCTCGAAGAGTTCTAGGCTCTGTCATATGATCAGTTAGAAGGTAATTAGGTCTGCTTCCGCCAGAGATCAGGTATATCAGGTCTGCTTCCGCTTATGGAAACTGGAATCACCACACTGGGTGAGATTCGGCTCTTGGCCTATTGAACATATGGGGTGTTTACCAGGGCCGGGCCAGTCCCCGGGGACCCTATGGCTGCAGAGGGCTTGTACCTGAGTCTGCACCATCTGGCCTCTCTTGGTGTCCTTGCTGACAGGATGTTCCTGAGACTCTGAGCATGTGACTCACTTTCTGGCGAATGTTTTTATGAATAGTAACAAACTGCATTCTTACTCATGCTGACGCGCTTTCCCATTCAAGCTGCACGTTTCCCGCTTAGTATCCCTCAGTGTCCCTCATCTTCCCGTGGAAAACAGCTGAGAAGCTGAGGCCTGGCAGGCGCCACACTCGTCCTCACTGGCATTTCCTTTGGCGCGTCCTGTGCTGGCCTTTCCGAGCGGGATGCTTCCTGCTGGCGGAGTTGGCGACTCAGGGGCTCTGAAACATCGCCGCCCTGCTGTGCCGTCATTGCTGGAAGCCCTCATCGATTGGTCTTATTTATGGCATCGCCGTCTCTTTTACCGGTGTCTTCCTCTTCGCCTCATTGTCCCCCAGCTGTGAGCAGGCCTTCGAACCCAGGCGGGTCCAGTTTGGGGAGGCGGACCTCAGCGATGCGAAGATGAACCGACTCTACAACAGGATCAAGGGCATCGAGAGGAAGAGCGAGTCAGTCAATGGCAGAAACAGAGTCAGTGTTACCAGCTCTTCCTCTTCTCACTCATCTCCTGCTCTTTGTTTGAATAATTGGTGATTGTTTTCAGCTAGAGCACCTCATCCTTTTGGAGCTCAGCTGTCCATTTTAAGATTGAGATCTGCTGGCTGATTCTTTGAACTTCTGACACGTTCCACTGTAGTATCTTGCATAATATACTATGACAGCTCGGTATTGGAAAATTTTCAAATATCGCAATTTAATTTTGTTGTAATAAATATTGGGGTATTTATGAAACAAAAAAAGAAGTTCACAATTAATTTCTCACGAACCCATCTAGGAGCGATTTAAACAGCGAGGATGAAAATGATTATTTTTGTCTCATAGAATGCATGCAGTGCTCATGCAAAAGTCGCAGATGTAGACTTTAAACTGATTTTTAAAAAATACTAGATAATCTTGAAAAAGAATAATCATTAAAATTGCAAACTTGCTAGGTTTAAAAATGTTTTAGCCACACTTAAATTTCTTGCACTATAATATCCGTACCAAATTGAAGAAAACACCTGATCTTGATCTAGCTGACTAGTGATGTAAGAATTGCATGTGCATAACACGTGATGTTGATATTAATATCACACGTCTTCCAGTCATACTACAGCCATTTTTCGAAGTATAAAATAACCTGCCTTGAACTGTGATGTCATTCGGCGCTGGTGCTAGTTTTTACACCCACACCTTGAAGTACCGTACTTTTCATACCTTCTTGTAGTACAGTACCTGGTGCAGTGGAAAAGAGTCCCTCAGTTTAACAGTCAATTGGACAGCTTTATATAGTACTGTACATTTTGTATGTACTGTATGTCCTCTGCTATGCTCCAAACTTCTTCTGTGTACCAACTTCTTCTGTTACTTCTGGGTTAAAGCCCAGGGTAGGGGGGTGGGGGGGAGTGCCTAGGCCAGTCTGAATCCGACTGAACGTATACATGCAGGAGTAAACTGACTCCCAATCGCATTATCCAGGTGTCTTAGTCCGACTTGGAGAAATTCAATTTAGTACAATTTCAGGCAGACTAGCATGTTTACATGTACTTTAAAAGTCTGATTTTAGTCGAAATAACACAATAATTCGATTTGTAAACATACTGACTGTGAGAGAAAGATCAGGTATTCAGAACCTTCTCTCGGTAAACCACACCAGCTACTGCAAGATGTGAAAAATATCACATTTATGCACCACTGTTTGTTTCTTTTTCTTGTTTCCTGAAAACCTGTGACTAATTGTCCTTATCGATGAACAAAACTAAGACGTACAATTTTTATCCTGTCTTAGTCATTAAACATTAACCATTAAATTACGGATCAGCTTCCACGAAGAGTGATGGGAGAGGACTTCTTGTAAGGAGTCTTACTGATGTGGATCGAGGTTAAATCAAATATTCAGGGATGATCACTCAGTATCAGTTTGTATTGGTGAGGAGACCAGTGACTGACTCTCTGCCATTTTGACATGCCGCAGACCATCAGCACACTAGTGGTGGCAGCAGCCGAAGTGTCCGGGAGCTATACCTGCTTGGCCTGGAACGAAGTCGGCAATCGGACATGGAGCACACCTTTCTACGTGGATGGTGAGCGCCCCCTAGCTGTGACGTTCATTAAGGCACGGCGTTTTCCCAGTCTTGCTGTGTTACATTGGCCACGCTCTGTACAGAAACCCACACTCGTGAAAATGAGCCACAAAATGAGGAATGCGTGCACCACGCAATAGAGAGTCCTCGGGGGGCTAATGGAAAACATCTTGCCCCCTCCCTCCAAAGCCAGCGTACATGTAGACCTAAAGACTATGAAACAGAAAAGTCATATGGCTCTCAATAACACCGCAGGGCACATTCAGCTTCTCTGCCATGCTCTGGTCTGTCTGGTAGTTTCTGACTCTCAGTCATGTGACTGATGGGATGTTTAGGTGTCAGCCAGCAAAGGACCGGCCCTGCTCTGGGACTTGGAGAGGGATCCGTGATGGTTAGATGCAGAAGCTGGGTGGGGGTGGGGGTGGCAGCAAGCATCAGTCCTGCAGATGTGATGGGGGGGGGGGGATGCTGAGGTCAGCTCTGGAGTTATGACAACAGGCACAAAGGTAAATAGGCATCCGTCCCAAACCACCCACCCCCCAAGGCCCGAAGCTGTCTGGTTCTTACTGACCTGCCGTACTCTGGCCGCCATCTCTGTCTGCTGACAATGTGCTTCCAATTATCAGTGATGAGACTGGAAATTACTGCGTGTTTCCTGTTCTGCCGTCCAGGCCATGTGAAGTTCAGTCCCTCTTGCATTTTCTCCACCATCTTGCTCAGACTGGAAACTGCCTGTGGATTTGTCAGACTGGGCATAAACCCCTGTATTTATCCATTAATTTCTCTTTCAGATCACGTGGAGAGCATCGGAATAGAGCCTCAGAAAGCCATCGAGGGGGACAATGTGACATTAGCATGCCGGGCCACGCGGTACCTATACACGGAGCTGCATTGGTTCGGCCCGCAGAATGCTACAGTCCTCGTCGCCGGCAGCACGCTGCAGGTTGAGCCGTACTCCATCTTCCTGCCACTCGCTCTTGGAAGTGTGCCCAGGGGTAATGTCCGGGACTACGAGTGCCGAGCACGTAACAGCTACACCCACCGGGTCGTCCTCAGGAAGTCTCAGCTGGTTGTTGAGGGTAAGCTTGCAACATAGGTGAGGGAGAGACTTGAGTCACTCCAGCTTGTTCTTAAGGGCAACAGGAAGGTCGTATATTTTTAGCAGAGCAGAACTGTTAATATGAAGCAAATGTGCCGTCTATTTTGGGAGTTGTTTTCCTCACAGCATTTCTTAAGTGTAATTAGTCATTTATTGTGTTGGTGTTTGTTCCTGGAAATAAGCCCTCACACAGCTCTGGGAAAACCGTAGCGGGGGGCTGGCCGTGCCAGGAGGCGTAGCTCTTAGCTAACGCTCGCAAACACCCGCCTGAGAAGCCGGGAGCGTTTCCGGGGTGACGCCATAGACACCCAACGCTGCGATGTGCTTCCCCAGCCAGGAGAGGCCCGTGGGTGCAGGTGAACTTGACCAGCCAGGCAGTGAACGCCAGCAGCACGCTGAACATGGTCTGCCACGCCCATGGCGTCCCACCCCCCCACATCGCCTGGCTCAAAGACGGGACCCCCCTGCAGGAGGCACCAGGTAATGACCAGCTCCGGCCGCACGCTGGCTGTCTGGCTGTCTGTCTGTCTGCCTGCCTGCCTGTCTGTCTATCAGACTGCCTGTCTGTCTGTCTATCAGACTGCCTGTCTGTCTGTCTGCCTGCCTGCCTGTCTGCCTGCCTGCCTGTCTGCCTGTCTATCAGACTGCCTGTCTGTCTGTCTGTCTATCAGACTGCCTGTCTGTCTGTCTATCAGACTGCCTATCTGTCTGTCTATCAGACTGCCTGTCTGTCTGTCTGCCTGCCTGTCTGTCTGTCTGCCTGCCTGTCTGTCTGTCTGCCTGCCTGTCTGTCTGAAGGTGCTCAGAGCTTGATTCTGCCAACGGGCTGTTATAGCATTTTAATCAGCTCTTCATAAGCATTATTTAAAATCATATATCAAATCTTGTTCAAAGTCAAAGTCACCTTTATTTCAATTTCAGTTCTATGATGTGTGCGTCATGCACAGACGAAATATCAATCTCTTTGGTCAGAAAAGTAACAGAATATAAATAAAGACGTAAAAACATGACTTTAAGACCTAAGACATTAAAATCTACACATGCAAATATCCCTGCTTATCAGATGCTTCTGTCTAAAACAGCTTTAATTAAGACTGTATCCTACTGCTTTGGGGTAGCACTGTGTGGATCAGCAGCATAGGATAATGTTTCTGTGGTGAGAAGGTCACTGGTTCAAACCCCAAAGTCAGCAGAGTGATGTCACTATTGGGCCCCTGAGCTAGAGCTTAACCCCTGCTTTCACAAAAATTGTATGTCACTTTAGATAAAAGTATCAACTAAATAAATGTAAATGTATTGTTATGTCTACATATTTAGTGAACTCCAGATAATAGACTTCATCCTTATGATTACAGCTACTGGCCTTTTGCAAAGGCTTTCGGAGAACCAAGTGCGCGCTGGGGTCTGTGCTGTTTACACAGCATAGCTGAGGGCTTTGTAGCACATGGAGTGAAGCATGAGAATGTTCAGTTTGGCTGGAACGCTGCTGTGCGTGACCCCACACCGCGCGTGTGAAGCCAGTCTGAATCCGCAGCAGATGCGGGGCGGGGCGGGCCCCCCCTCCCCCCTCCCCCCCCCACACTGACGCTGCCGCTCGTGAATCTCCAGGAATCGCCCTGACCCCCAGTGGTATGCTGACCATCGAGAGGGTGAAGAAGGAGGATGAGGGGATGTACGAGTGCCTGGCCAGCAGCGTAGAGGGCGAGGCGAGGACCTCGGCCTTCATCACCGTGCTGGGTGAGTGCCGGCATGACCGCCCTCGCCAGCCCCCAGCGCCCATCACTTTCTCCCATCCGCTCCTTTGATCTTTGAAGGAGTGACGACATGCTTCAGCTTTTCCCAGCAGAGGTCAGCGCTGATGCATGTCCAGCATCCATTATCCATAATTTAATGTGTAATGCGGAGGTGGAAAGTTTAGATTCAGAAAGTATAAATCCAGACCAAGATTTTGTTCCAACCAACTAGTTGAGTACTCTGTGAATGTGACTGTTTGTACTCAACTGATTGGTTGAAACAAAATCGTAGTCCGGATTTGTACATTCTGGACCCGAACTTTCCACCTCTGATGTAATATCTATTAATACGTGTCTTGTCCTCTTTCACAGTCTTTCACATTTCCCTGCACATTGTACCGAGTATAATCATGTATGTTTGAAAACTTTGAAACTGGAAATTACGGACATGCAGTAATGTTGCTGGTCCCCAGGTGAGGACGGGAAGCCCAACACGGAGGTGATCATCCTGGTGTGCACCGGGGCGGCGGCCAGCTTCCTCTGGCTGATCCTCACCCTCATTATCCGCAAGCTGAGAAAGGTACAGCTAAAGCATCTGCCCCCCCCGGCTCCCAACCTTAACAAAGACACAATTATAGCATATCGTGGCACAATCTGAATTCCTTAAAATACCTAATTTCCCCTGAGGCTTCTTAATAGACTGAAATGCACTAAGTAACCAATAAAGTATGGCAGAAATACTAATAATTGATAATATTTGTTTATATATGTACTATTACAACAGGACTGTCTGCCCTTTGACCTGACTCTCCCTACGCCTCTCTCCCTGCCCGTCCTCCCATCCAGCCCAGCTATGCAGACATGGAGCCGGGCTACCTGTCCATCACCATGCCCCTGGATGAGCAGTGCGAGCTGCTGCCCTACGATGGCACCCGCTGGGAATTTCCCCGAGACCGCCTGAGGCTAGGTGAGCACATGCTCCGATGACGTCAGCGCTGGGAAGCTCGCAGTTTGTTCCGTGGGCGTGTGTCTGTGTACATGGGGGCTTCCTGGCCATGGGGCAGTGTGAACCGCTGCTGTCCAGATGCCCTGCAGCCCCCAGGTCTGCACAGCGGGGCTCTGCTTTCAGCTGCTCTCACCTTCTCCCTGACAGGTAAAACGCTGGGCCATGGAGCTTTTGGAAAGGTGGTGGAGGCTTCTGCCTTTGGGATCGACAAGCGCTCCACCTGCACGACGGTCGCTGTCAAAATGCTGAAAGGTGCCACTATGTGTTATGCTATTACTCTGTATGGGGGTTCATTGATCTAACGCAGAAAGAACGGAAGAGCAGTGATAAGCACAGGCGTGCCGAGAGCCTGTGCACCGCTGACAGCCGGCTTCCTGCGTTATTCATAAGTGTGTTTTGCAGACGAGGCAGCGTGAATGTGTCCCATGTGCTTTATGAATCATCTTACGCAGAGGGCCCTTAGATATTATTGACTGAGAGCCAATATCACCCCCTACTGATTTATGACTGCTGATGTCTCACATTCCAAAATCCAAGTCTCCCCTAATCAGTTATTGCACAGTACATTTCCAGCCAATGAAGAGAACTTGAATCAAAAGAATTTCCTCCCGTGGCCAATAGTTTGGAAACCAGATCATTCTTTACAACATGGTCAGAAATAATAAGTGTCCTAGCATTTTAAACATATTTCTTTCAAGCGATGTATTGATTTCAAGTTGATGTAGATGAGCTCAGGTGTTGCCCTTTCAGCCTTTAAATCAAGCTTTACAAAGGACAAAGGACTGATTTCCCAGTGCTTAACTGACTTCTCAAGCTGCCAGAATAAACACTGGCTACACAGAAACCAGCCATGAGCAATCAAGCTAGAGGTCATCAGGCAGATCAGTGGTCACTGATAAGCAATGTTTTTACTCTGGATGGTTTAGCACCTGGTGACATGCCACCAGATCTGGGCATCCAGATTCCCTACAACTATTTAAGATAAAATGCATTTTCCTCTTCATAGAGACCATGAATGAGTCCAGTCCCTTTTATTATGGTTCGCATTTGTGTCATTATGACACATTGCAGCTGTCCCAGAGTCTGTATGCTATCATTAGATCTCAGGGCTGCTCTCTCCACATTCCATGAATAAGCTTCTATAAACGAAAGCACTCCATTCATCACATATCTGGAAAAAAAATGTTTGCAATTTAAATTATACATTGACTCCACATGCACATTGTATTAAAACAGTGTTTGTCTTCTTTAGTCTGAAGACTTTTTAATACAGTTTGATGAGAGATCTGAGCAGGTCTTTATATAATTCTGTCAAAGCGTGTGAGGCCAAAGGACAGTCACGCTCACACACCATTCGTTCGACCATTGCCGCTTTCAAGTGACAAACAGTGGGGTTTATAAAAATTGCCTATCACATACTTTCAGAGAAATTCCCTTATATGCCCATAGAATCTCAACCCAGAAGTCCTTCCTAGCCAATCGTGTGACACCACTCTGTGTTGGACAGGGGGGGCCTCAGCCAATGAGAGCCGGGCCCTGATGTCTGAACTGAAGATACTGATCCATATTGGACATCACCTGAATGTGGTCAACCTGCTTGGGGCATGCACCAAGCCTGGAGGTAAGTGGGGGTTATTTTTAAGGTAGGGGGAATAATAGGGCCCAAAATTCATACGGAGGGGCCATGCTCTGAGTCAGTTACTGACAGGAGAGGGGGCACTCAATCGGGCTTTAGTTGCCCCTGTGGCCCTGCCCCCGTATATGCTGCTGCATACAAAGAATTTTATTTTTATATGAAAAATATCGGAAAAATATTTAAATCAAAAAAGAACTGCTAAAATTCTCTTAAAATACAGTTGTTGTTGACTGACCCTGTGTTCTATGCCCCTGTAGGGCCCTTAATGGTAATAGTGGAATATTGTAAATATGGGAATCTGTCCAACCACTTAAGGAGCAAGAGAGGAGACTTTGTGATTTATAAGGTAAACTAACCTCCTGGCCGGGGTAGCAGCGGTCGGCGTCGCTCCGTCATGCCGCTTCAGCCCGAACACTTCCTGTCACGCCTGTGTCTCGCTCTCCCTCAGAGCCGAGATGGCAAGGCGGCGTCCCCGCGCCCAGGGGGCGACCTCGGCGAGCCCCCCAAGCGCCGGCTGGAGAGCGTGGCCAGCACCGGGAGCTCTGTCAGCTCTGGCTTCGTGGAGGACAAGAGCTGTGACTCAGAGGAAGAGGAAGAAGGTTAATGGCGCCCCCTGCACCACTAACAACCTGTCAGCACCTTCCTTCCGGAACCTTCATTCTAGCCTCTGCCTCCGTGCATCCCCCTCCCTGCAGTGCCCACCCTCCCCCCAGGCTTAGCTGACCTATGTTATACTCCGAACATCCTCAAGAATTGCAATCAGACTGACTCCAGTTTTGTGACTGACCTGTATGCAGCAGTGGTCCCATTAGGTGTGTGTTGTTTTGTTTGATGAGCTGCTTACTTGGGCACCCTTGAGTCACCAGAAGCCCCAACACTGACGTTCATTTCCCGCTGCCCGAAATAAAGGACGTGTGGGTTGGGTCTACCCTGTTATTCCACATGGTTCCTGCTGTTCCGATTGGCTGTAGCGAGAGATCAAAATCTGATCTGATGCATATACTTCCCCACAACATCCATACTGTGTCCACAGAGTCAGAGGACATGAGCAGAAGGCCTCTGACAATGGAGGACCTCATTTCCTACAGCTTTCAAGTGGCCAAAGGCATGGAGTTCCTGGCGTCCCGAAAGGTACGAATCTCCGGGGCTGGTTAGGCAACACCGAAGGCAGAGGTGGATAGTCCAGGTCCAGAAAGTAAAAATCCAGACCAAGATTTTATTTCAACCAACCAGTTGAGTTCTCTGTTATTGTGACTCTTTATGCTCAACTGGTTGGTTGAAACAAAATCTTGGTTTGGGTTTTTACTTTCTGGACCAAGACTATCCACCTCTAAGTGACTTCTGACTGTCTTTCAAAGCCGCCTCACGGGCTTGTTTCATGAGCTGAATGTCTGCACAGATTTGAACTCCCCCCTCATCTTGTTTTTGGTGAAAATTGAGAAATAAACTGCCCATCGAAATGAGAGCAGTGTTATCGCGTACAGAACGTGACCCTGCTAAAAGTGCCGTAGAATTCTTTTTTTGTTTTTCTAAATTGTTCTCTGGTGTCTTCATGGAATGCGAACTTGGTTTGGTCGAAAAATGTCCAGAAGTGGTTTTACAGGCCCATTTAAAACCCTATGATTTTGGCCCTAGAATGAAACGGGCTGTTTTCCCTTATTTGGGGGGCTCATTAATATGTTTATTAGCTCTGCTCTAATTGGCTGGTTCACGGCGAGGCACTACAATTGATCACACTGAACCAATTTGCCACATGTAACTGTAATAGTCCCACTTCAGTCTAGGCACAATGTTAGCATAATCTTAACTTGGCTTTCAGGATTGTAACAAGAACATCAAAATTATTTTTCATCTCAGCCAACAGATGATTTTATGATGGCAGCTTTGTCATGCAAGTTTTATCAAGAATCCGAACAGAAAGCTGAGCAGCTTGTAAATGTGTTTGTAACAAATTTGGAGGTTTTTTGTTTTTACTGCAATATCAATTAGATACACTATATTGCCAAAAGTATTGGGACACCCGCCTTTACACACACATGAACTTTAATGACGTCCCATTCTTAATACATAGGCTTTAATATGGAGTTGGCCCACCATTTGCAGCTATAACAGCTTCAGCTCTTCAAGAAAGACTGTCCACAAGGTTAAGGAGTGTGTTTATGGGAATTGTTGACCATTCTTCCAGGAGAGCATTTGTGAGGTCAGGCACTGATGTTGGAAAAGAAGCCCTGGCTCACAGGCTCCCCTCTAATTAATCCCAAAGGTGTTCTATCAGGTTGAGGTCAGGGCTCTGTGCAGGCCAGTCAAGTTCCTCCACACCAGACTCACTCATCCATGTCCTTATGGACCTTGCTTTGTGCACTGGTGTGTAGTCATGTTGTACAGGAAGGGGCCATCCCAATACTGTTCCCACAAAGTTGGAAGCATGAAATTGACCAAAATGGCTTCGAATGCTGCAGCATTGAGTTCCTTTCACTGGAAAACAACCCCACACCATAATCCCCCCTCCACCAAACTTTACACTTGGCACAAAGCAGTCAGGCAAGTACCGGTGTCCTGGCAACCGGCAAGCCCAAACTCGTCCATCAGATTGCCAGACAGAGAAGCATGTTTCGTCACTCCAGAGAATACATCTCCGCTGCTCTAGAATCCAGTGGCGGCGCGCTTTACACCACTGCATCCGATGCTTTGCATTGCACTTCGTGATGTAAGGCTTGGATGCAGCTGTTCACCCATGGAAACCCATTCCATGAAGTTCTCTACATACTGTTCTTGAGCTAATCTGAAGGCCACACAAAGTTTGTAGGTCTGTAGCTATTGACTCTGCAGACAGTTGGCGACTTCTGCACACTGTGATTTTACATGGCCTACCACTTCATGGCTGAGTTGCTGTTGTTCCCAGTTGCTTCCACTTTGTTATAACACCACTAACAGTTGACCCTGGAATATGCAGTAGCGAGGAAATTTCACGAATGGACTTATTGCACAGGCGGCGTCCTGAGCTCCTGACAGTGACCGATTCTTTCACAAATGTTTGTAGAAGCAGCCTGCATGCCTAGGTGCTTGATTTTATACAGCCGTGGCTATGGAAGTGATTGGAACACCTGAATTCAATGATTTGGAGGGGTGACACAACCAAATCCGCAAGACAATACAGTGCATTAGCCAACCAAAAGTAGGCTACGGGACGTACAGACGAGGAGATGTTTTCCCAAAAGCACAGTTGCTAGCAACGTAATTTGCAATTTGTAAGTTACTAACTGGAGCTTTTGGGAAACATACCCCTGACTTACCTGTTAAAGATCATCATCAACCTGGCCTGCTGACAGTTCAGTTTCTTGGGAAGTGCTGACATCCTCAGCCTCAGATGGCATACTTACACATACATCCTGCCATTTTCGCTGTCGTCCTCCACTTGGTTCTTCACAGTCCCTGCTTGAAAGTAGGCTGGCATATGTTACGTTTGGAGCCATAGTTAAGATTGTTACATAACAGTCTAAGAATCTGAAAACAGCCTGTTTCATTTCCTTCTTTTATATATTCAGTAATTAAATTTGAAAGAGGGAACAACAGTGTTTCAGATTCATGGTTTGTCATTTCCATGTACTGAACTTCCCTTTTTCATCTAAGCCGGGGTAAAGTCAGATTTTCACTCCATGGCACCTTTGATGTTCATATCTTCTAATGGCCTGTAGCAATGTATCCCTGCATCCAGCATCCCCTTAATGTAGGCAGTGCATCGCAGTTACCTCACTAACATTTGTATACCATCCCACACGCACTGCGCAGCATTGAATTCCAGTGAGACATTTACAGATTTGCTGCTGGTCATGCCTTCATCATGGAAGGACATGGAGCCCCTGTGTAGCCTTCTGGTCAGATTCTGTGGTGTTTGACCCTTTTCTTGTTTTCAGTGTATCCACAGAGATCTGGCTGCCAGGAATGTCCTGCTGTCAGAGAACAACGTTGTGAAAATATGCGACTTTGGTCTTGCACGGGACGTCTACAAAGACCCGGACTACGTGCGCAAGGGCGATGTGAGTGCACCCGCCTTGGTGCGGGGTGATGGATGGTGCAGAGCATGCTGTTAACATCTTTGGAATGCTGCCTTACCGTTCACCGCCCGCTGCGGGGGGTCGGGGGGTTTCTGGGGGCTCATGTGATCTTTCTCAGCCGCTCAGCATGACTGATGGTTTGCTTACCATCTGCTAAGCCACCCCTGCAAAGCACACGCACAGCAAACCGAGCCCAGCTGAGGAAGGCGGCAGAGCAGTGCTCAGTGATGATGATGATGGTGGTGGTGGTGATGATGATGAGGAGCAGTGTTCCTGCTTGGCTCTTAAATCATGATTTAATCATTTGGAGGCGGACTTTGCAAAGTGCCACCACCTGACACACGCTGTGTGCTTTGAGCTCAAAAGGAAAAATTGCCGATCACTTTTGTACACCCTCATCACTCTGGTCAGCCATAGTGTAAATATGTAGCCGAGCAGGGGCAGTGACAGCCATAGCACAGTGATGTGGCTGAGCAGGGGCAGTGACAACCATAGCACAGTGATGTGGCCGGGCAGGGGCAGTGACAGCCATAGTGCAGTGATGTGGCCGAGCAGGGGCAGTGACAGCTATAGCGCAATGATGTGTCCGGGCAGGGGCAGTGATAGCCATAGGCCAATGATGTGGCCGAGCAGGGGCAGTGACAGCCATAGCGCAGTGATGTGGCCGGGCAGGGGCAGTGACAGCCATAGTGCAGTGATGTGGCTGAGCATGGGCAGTGACGGCCACAGTGCAGTGATGTGGCCGGTCGGGGGCAGTGACAGCCATAGTGCAGTGATGTGCCTGAGCATGGGCAGTGACAGCCACAGTGCAGTGATGTGGCCGGTCAGGGGCAGTGACAGCCACAGTGCAATGATGTGGCCGGTCAGGGGCAGTGACAGCCATAGCACAGTGATGTGGCCGGGCAGGGGCAGTGACAGCCACACTGCAGTGATGTGGCCGGGCAGTGACAGCCATAGCAAAGTGATGTGGCTGGGCAGGGGCAGTGACAGCCACACTGCAGTGATGTGGCCGGGCAGGGGCAGTGACAGCCATAGCAAAGTGATGTGGCCGGGCAGGGGCAGTGACAGCCATAGCAAAGTGATGTGGCCGGGCAGGGGCAGTGACAGCCACACTGCAGTGATGTGGCCGGGCAGGGGCAGTGACAGCCATAGCAAAGTGGTGTGGCCGGGCAGGGGCAGTGACAGCCACACTGCAGTGATGTGGTCGGTCAGGGGCAGTGACAGCCATAGCAAAGTGATGTGGCTGGGCAGGGGCAGTGACAGCACTAAATAGTCAATAAATGTATTCCTTATTTAGCAGATGCAGCAGCATGTTCCGCTACCCATCTCACTAGCTATTATCTTCTGACTCTGCTGACTAGTTATTTATTTAGTTTTTGAAACATCTGAGGGGGGGCAGGGGAGGGCTTCGAAGTGACTTTCTGAGAGGGGACCCAGACACAACAAAGGTGCCCCTGGGGAGGGTCCCGGTGATTGACGTTGGTCTTCCTCACGCAGTCGGTGTCCCTTTGCTGCTTAGGTCAGGCTGCCCCTGAAGTGGATGGCACCGGAGGCCATCTTCGACAAGTTGTACACGGTGCAGAGTGACGTCTGGTCCTTCGGCGTGCTCATGTGGGAGATCTTCTCTCTAGGTGTGTATCCGACCCTCGTCTCTCATTATTACAGCTGACACTTTGCTTCTTGGAAAAAAATATCCAGTGATAATTTTTTTTTTCCTAGCTTCAAATGAAAGTGTCTGTCATCACTCTAAATCAGTCAGGATCTGGGCCCGATTAAGAGTATTAAGTGCCCCTGGGCAACAGCACGTATGACATCATGTCAGAAAGGAGCACGGCTGATTGGTGGCTCATGAAATTCTAAAATGCAGCTAAGTTAGAGAAAACATTACATAGGCTGCTGACTGCGTGCCAGGTTACAAGAAACAATATACAGTCATATTAAATAATATTAAATATATTAGATATTGAATCGCTTCTCAAAAGACATTCGTGAATGAGATGGGGGGGGACTCTTGGGGGTTGCCCTGCATAGTGCACCCCCCCATGGATGTGGAGCCCCTGGGTACTTGCCCAAATGCCCATCTAGTTAGTCCTGGCCAGGTCAGGCCGGGTGGTGGATATTCTCCAGGGAGCGACTCAGGCACCCTGTTTGCCACCATTGAAGCATATGGATGTCTCCCCCCCGTGTGTCGCCCCTGTCGTCTCCCCCCCCTGTGTCGCCCCTGTCAACACCCCCCCGTGTGTCGCCCCTGTCGTCTCCCCCCCCCTGTGTCGCCCCTGTCGACACCCCCCCGTGTGTCGCCCC